TCACTTGACTGCTGAGGAGAGGGACCAACTGTCTCCTCTCCTAAGAACACACACGGTCGCTGGGGAGGACGGACGACACCTTCAGCTCCCTGGGACACACACTGCCGCTGGGGAGGAAGGACGACACGCTTCTCTCTCTGTAACTTGCTAGGCCACTGGCGTCTCTCCCAACCTGCCAACTCACGTGTCCGCCCTGCTCCGACCTGCAGGTACTCTTCTACCTGTCTCCTCACGAACTGCACGTATTTCTCCGGGGGGTTGGGTCCAAAGAAAGCCAGCCGCGTGGTAAACTCTCTGTCATACTGCTCCTGAGTGTAGCTGGGTGCCATGCTTGCGCTGCTGAAGTTGGTTCTTTTGTACATAGGGTCGCTGTACGGGTACTGGCGTTGCCCTCAATTTGTAATCCAGGAACTGGTGTTGTATTATAGCTGTCCTTCTGGGCTGTGGAAATGATCCCGTCGCTTGCCACCAATTGTAACGGACCGTTTTGCCCAAAAGAGGTTAAAAACCGTTTAGGCGATATTCCCCTTTTTCAGCTGCACAGACAGCTACTGCAAGCACCAATCTCCTGAACTGCAAACCCACGAATTCACCAACTCCTAAACTGCAACCAAGGGAATACTCGAAACTCCCGAACTGGAGACACACGAATAGCTGCTAACAGATGAACAGGAAAAGCCCCCAAGCGGCTTACACTCCTGGCAATCAGTCTCTAACAGCATACAGTAAATCCTCCCCCCCAATAATGAGACGACACTTCACTTTGAGGGTTAAGCAGGAACTGATTTACTGGGGCTAACTGCCCGGCTTTTATGCAGGTCTCCCACCTGGTGGACACTCCCCTAGGGGACCAAATGGGAGACTGGGACACAAAGGGTAAAAGGACCAATTACAGACTTACACATTTCAACCATCCCACAATGCATCACAATCCCTCCTCTCTGCTCTGGAGATAATTGAGAAGTAATTCAATTATCTCCAAAGACAGAGGCAAAACTCCATTAACCACATGGCAGAAAACAAACAGTAAAAGACATACAATTACCTACAGTTACATTCAGTACATAAAACATATATGTTCTACATATCCCCAGGTAGCTCAGGTCTGAGTGCACATTATTAAGTGAATGGCGCTCAGACCGCACGAATACAGTTTAATCGCCATGGAGCCAAAGTCTTTACACAGTCAGTTTCATGCAAATAGGCTCCATGGGATTCCTATCTGGGGTACAACACACTCAAACAAAACTACCGAACACTGGGCCGTTCGTACACTTTTACCGAACAAGAAGGGAGGTCGGCGGCTTCAACGGAGTTCGCGCAAAACTGTGTCCGATTTCACTTGAATTAAGCGTCGAACACCGCTGTGCATTCGCATGTTTAAAATGGCCGTGACCTCGTGTTCGTGATACGAATGGCGGCCACCCAGCATTCGTCAATTAAGCTGCAGTTAACCGCAGCTTCAGGGAGGTTAATTGCCGGCACACTCCAGCTCCCAGGTGGTCTATTCATTCGTGCGGTTGTTCGGTAGATTAAATCTACCGAACACCCGGCAGAAAAGCACGAATAAGTGTTTTCTGCAGGGAAAAAGATGTCTTTTAACATGGGGCCATAGTCCAAAGGCAGCAGGCGAGCAACCAGGATTCTCCAGTGTACAGTGGCGAGGTTGGTTTCGCCACATCAGCTATCTATGGCAAGAGGCCCAGTACGCCATAGGCCCTAAGATAGCCGCCCTCACTGAGCTTGTCGATGTTTTTGTGGCATTGTAAGCTCATATGTTATACTATACACAGCAAAAATAAAGAATATGTAAAAAAGAGCTAGGCCTGAGAGAAACCAGTGCCTTTTTAAAGGCAGTAACTGATCACAGTTAAGGCAGAGGTGTGGGTAACTGATTGGGAAAGGAGCTGAAGAGAAAAAAGTTAGAGGGGATGATACCTGTCTTGAAGGAGAGAGCTGCAGCCTGGTTCGAGTGTAAGAGTTCGTGAGAGACCAGAGTCAAGCTTCGGCGACTAGGGCTGAACTGTTCCAGATTCCCCTTTGACAACGAGTAAGCAGACTTGGCAGAGGTACTCGTCGGTCGGGAGCGCCGACACATTTGGGGTCAGAAGTGTTTCAGAGTCCCTTGTGGCATCGTGGAAGCGTACTTGGCGGAGGTACTAGGTCGGAGTACACATGGTTTCTATGTAAATTATATTTCTAAGAAAGCATTATTTTATTTTGATTGTTTTGCCTGCACTCTTTAATTATTGATTGGATTTGTGTTGTTTTGACTTGTCCTAATTCTAATTCTTAAACATATTAAATGCTATGTTTCAGTGTTTGCAGCTGACACAAAATTCTGTATAGTAATACAATGTGAGCAAGTTATTACTTTGCTGGAGATAGATTTAAATAGATTAAGGGACCGAATACTCAAATGGCAGATTAAATTTAATGTAGAAAAAGGCAAAGTTATCCACCATTACCCCAAAGTGCATAACTTTGCATTTTTCAACATTAAATTTAATCTGCCAGTTGAGTACAGAATGCACAAGCAACTTACACCGTAAATGGCAGTGAATTCAGGATAACAACACACAAGAAGGATTTCTGAATTGTTCTAGACAACAAACTAGGCAAAAATGTGTAATGTCAATCGGCAGTTGCTTAGGCCAATAAGATATTGTCAGGGGCGTTTTAGCCGCGAGGCAAACAAGGCATTTGCCTTGGGCGGCATTTTTCAGGGGGCGGCAAAAAACGCCGCCCCCCAAATGCCCAGGCAAATGCTTTGTTAGCCTCGCGGCTAACTGACCGGCTGGGCTGGCGGGCGGCGCTGGGCAGGCGGCTGGCGAGGGAGCTCTTCCCCTGAGCGGTGCGCTCAGCTCCCTCGCGCGCCGCAGAGTGAGGCTGGGAACCGGAAGATGACGTCATCTTCCGGCTCCCAGCCTCACTTTGCGGCGCGCGAGGTGCCCGCTCAGGGGAAGAGCTCCCTCGCCAGCCGCCTGCCCATCCACTGGACCACCAGGGAGGTAATGAACCCCTCCCTCCCAGCACTCCCAAAGGTAAGGGGGGGCTAAATAAAAATAAATAAAAAAATGTGTTAATGTGAGTGAGTGAGTGTGTGTCTGTTAATGTGTGTGTGTTTTGTTAGTGTGTGTGTGTCTGACTGTGTCTGTTAGTGTGTATGTGTGTGTGTGTCTGACTGTGTGTCAGTGAGTGTGTGTGTGTCTGTTAATGTGTGTGTGTTTGTTAGTGTGTGTGTGTGTGTGTGTCTGCTAGTGAGTGAGTGTGTCTGTTTGTGTGTGTCTGACTATGTTTGTCTGTTAGTGTGTCAGTGAGTGTGTGTGTATCTGACTGTGTGAGTGTGTTTGCCTGGGAGTGTGTGTGTGTGTTAGTGAGTGTGTGTCAGTTAGTGAGTGTGAGTGTGTCTGTTAGTGTGTGTGTGTTTCTGTTAGCGAGTGTATGCGTATCTGTCAGTGAATGTGTGTGTATTTAGAAGGTGGGGGGGGGGTTGGTGCAGGGGGGGTTGGCGCGGGGGGAGGGGAGGGGCGCCTGCGTTTTGTCCTGCCTAGGGCAGCACAAAACCAGGATACACCACTGGATATTGTCATGTATAAACATGAGTTCTAATATAATTGTGCCTCTTTATAATTCACTCGTAAGACCACACCTTTACTATGCTATTCAATTTTGGGCACCTATTCTAAAGATGGCTATTATGACACTAGAAAAAATGCAGAGGTGGGCTACAAAATTAATAAAAGGAATGGAGCATTATAGTTATGAAGAAAGGTTACCAAAACTCTTTAGTTTAGAAAAACAGCACTCCAGAGAGGATATGATAATATTATACAAATATATTTGGGGCCAATACAAACCATTGTCTGCAAATCTATTCATAAACAGGACTATATATAGGACACAAGGTCATACATTTAGACTGGAAGAAAGGAGATTTAGTCTAAGAAAAGTCTAAGGCTCTTACATTAAGAACAATAAGGATGTGGAATTCTCTACCTTAAGAAGTGGTTTTATCAGGATCTGTACAGATTTTTAAACAGCAACTGGGTGAATACTTGTAAAAACATAATATTTAGGGATACAATGTTTAATTTGTTGGTTAATAGCTTCTCGATCCAAGGAGATATCTGGCTCTCATTCTGTAGTCAAGAAGGAATTTTTCCTAGTTTGTTGCAAACTTGGAGCACACTGCATACTGGGTTTTTTGTTTTGTTTTTTGCACTATTTTGGATCAACAGCAAAAATAAATGTGAGAAAGAATGAACTTGATGGACACGTCTCTTTTTAGCTATGTAACTATGTACCTGTTTATAGTCAGTCTCTATGTATTAAACTGTGAATTTATATTGTTGATGGAAGGAGGTTGGATACACACATTACGTTATTTGCAATCTAATGGAATTATGTTATAACAAAATTACACAATCTAGTTGCACACAGTATTTTATTATTTAAAATCCTACTTGCTCATTTCTGCAATTTTGTTGTTTATTATGGCTCGATGTTCCCTTTGATTTAGTGCAGTGTTTTGTGGGCCCCTAAACTATTTTCCGGGAGTCACCAGTATTAAAACAGGTTCATTTTACATGAATGGTCCAATGTGGTAAACCATTTTTTACTGCAAAAAGCCTAATGAAGAATTTTGCTGATTTTATGTTATTGTACATAGCATTTTACAAATGGGGAATGGAAGATCAAGCTTATATGTACATAATGACATAATTGGTGGCACGAAAGTAGATCACAAGCTGTAGTTTCACAATAGTTACCTTTTTGCCATCCTTAATGTACATCATATATGTCCCTGTCAAAATAATTAGAAACCCTTGATCTAACACTAGTTCTAATGGACAAACTGACATATCTGTATATAGAAATACCACCATGTGAGAAACCTTTTCTTATGTAAGGCTTTCAGTTCAGTTATTCTAACCATCCATCCTAAGCTTGGAGGAAAGAAATGAGAGTACCCAGGAACGCTAATATTAGTTTATTACCATTTACAGTGCCAGAGGCGTGTTCCATGCATGGGTCAAAATCAAGGCATATCATGCTGTGATTGATGCACTGTGCAGTATGTATTTCTCTATTAACAGGTTCTGCCATTCCCAATACACCTGGGATATAGAAATATGAAAAGCATGTATACAATCTATTTATTATTAAACAAAGGGAGTAATATAAAAATGTAAAGCTTTTTAACATTCTATTTGCAAATACATTCCATTACACGAGATTAGACCTACAGTATATATTGATTATATCTGCATGTTAAAAATGTGAATATTTTCCAATAAAAATTATTTTAAAAAAAATGAACATGAAAAACACTCATCTATTAAATCATCAAATTATTGTTGGCTTGTAAAAGTTACATTTTGTAGTCGTATTGTAATATCTGATCTGTAACAACATTTTAATGCAACAGTACTGTATTACAGATCCTTCTTCAGCATTATTTTACTATGAAACATATGATTCTCATAAAATTAACCATATGATACTAGGAATTTCTCATTCCTAATATTTAAATTGGTCGTAAAAAGAAACACAGACACAAATAAAATATGTTGTGTATACAGAAGTTATTAGAGAGGGAGAGCACACAACGGAAAGTACAACCTACAGACATGTAATAAATAACAGGTGTTATTTGCAGGCTTGCCATAAATGTATGAGTATTAAACAACATAAAGCAACCGACAAACAAAAAATATAAACAAAAATTATACAATCATTGCAAAGATCACTTAACCCTTTAATAAACCTTAACTCTATATGATGAATTTAACGATCCTATATTCCATTTATTTAATGGTGACATTGTGACATTGCCACTGTGACAGAACATTATAAATCTGCAAATCCTAAAAATAAACTGACTTTCCACAGTAGCATTTGATCTAAGAGACCAAAAGGTATGATGATGCACAAAATATCATGGTCCTATAAAAGTTAAAGGTTACTTTTAACTGTATGGAGGTGCTAATGACTAATAAAAAGGTCAAAATAAAGACATTGTTAATTATAATAATATAAGCAGAGCATACAACAGCTTTTTTCTATCTATTACATATCCAAGCAATGAATATACACTTGTATTTTGCAAACAATCATTTTCATATAGCTGAAACATCTTCATTATATATTACAGAATTAATTACACAATTTGAATCAATTAATCAAAAAATATTTTTTCTATAATATTGTTAAAAGTTATCATTTGTTCTTATAGAAGACCTACCTGTCCAATATCCATTTTGAACTGTGCTAGAAAGTTCTTTGTGGGGTTATATGAAGTTACCTTTAATATTTAATAGGTGTTTCTTCTAATCTTCAAGTATTATGTTACTTGCCCCTGACAAGCATCAGAACACACAGAAAGAGACATCACTTTCATTAGCAGGAATTTAATGAGAGGACCAAACATATTTTTATATACATCTCTGAGGTTTATTTGCTAAATAGCTGTGCTGATGTGATGACAATTAACTTGATAAAATGAGGCCAAAATATTTCAAGTAGGAAAAAAAACTAGTGGGGTAATTTGACAATTTAGGGAAAAACAGCAAACATGTATATAGTGAAATACAATAAAAAATTATAACATAAAAGAAAGCCAATAAGTAATTTATAATTAGAGATGAGCGAACCCAAACTGTAAAGTTCAGGTTTGTACCGAACATTACAATTTTTGACCCTGAGCCCTGACATTTCAGTAACAGTTCAGGTTTCGAGTTCGGTGTTTGTCGATTTAATGGTGTGTTTTGAAAAGCTGCAGGGCAGCCAATCAACAAGCGTTTGACTCATGTGCCCTTAGAAGCCATCACAGACCATACTAATGGCATGTCTGTGATTGGCCAGTGCAGCAAGTGACCCAGCCTCTATATAAGCTGGAGTCACATGAGCTCTTATTAGTGTAGGGAGAGGATGCTGCAGCTGTGAGGGACAGATTAGGAAAGAATTCTGGTGTTGAATCTGCAAACTACAGTGATTATTTTTGTGGGTGCTATACTACATTTTTGTACCCTGCCTTGAGCCCAGTGCCACAGAGAAATAAGCAATCAGTCTGTTTGTTAGGTGGGCACTTGCAACTGCATGTGTGCCAGGCACATTACTTTAATCCTGTTCTGGTAGCTCAGTGGGCAACATTTAGGCATTTTTTGAATACTCCTGTGACATTGCAGTTTGACAAATTCACATTTTTTTGGTGCTAAAAAGTAAATTTCTGGCGTGTACTTCACAGAGCCGTCAAATACTGTGGTTACATCGCACTTTGACCAATGCAAATTTTTTGGGTGCTAAAAAGTACATTTGGGGCATGCACTTCATATCTGAGAGTCAAATAGAACCGTCAAATACTGTGGTTACATCGCAATTTGAAAAATTCACATTTCTTTGCTGCTAAAAATTAAATTTGGGGCATGCACTTCATATCTGAGAGTCAAATAGAACCGTCAAATACTGTGGTTACATTGCACTTTGAAAAATTTGAATTTTTTTTGGTGCTAAAAAGTACATTTGTGGCGTGTACTTCATATCTGAGAGTCAAATAGAACCGTCAAATACTGTGGTTATATCGCACTTTGAAAAATTCACATTTCTTTGCTGCTAAAAAGTAAATTTGGGGCGTACACTTCATATCTGAGAGTCAAATAGAACCGTCAAATACTGTGGTTACATCGCACTTTGAAAAATTCAATTTTTTTGGGTGCTAAAAAGTAAATTTGGGGCGTGCACTTCATATCTGAGAGTCAAATAGAACCGTCAAATACTGTGGTTACATCGCACTTTGAAAAATTCTAATTTTTGGGGTGATAAATAGTACATTTGCGGCCTGCGGTGTACTTCATATCTGGAGTAAAATAGAACCGTCAAATACTGTGGTTACATCACACTTTAAAAAATTCTATTTTTTTGGGCGCTAAATAGTACATTTGCGGCCTGCGGTGCACTTCATATCTGAGAGTCAAATAGAACCGTCAAATACTGTGGTTACATCGCACTTTGAAAAATTCAAATTTAAACCATCTGTTAGTTTGGTGGGTGAACACAAAGAATGAGGAGAGCTTCAAATAAGGGACGTGGCCCTGGTGGTAGTGCTGCTGGTGTTGGTGGAGCTCCTGTTGCAGGGAGAGGATGTGGTCGATCTGTGCCAGCTACACGCACAAGTGAAACACCTTCCTCGAATAGGCAACAGAACCTTCAGTTTTATTTGGTAGGCCCGAATGCCACTCTACGAATGTTGAGGCCAGAACAAGTACAGGCGATAGTAGATTGGATGGCTGACAGTGCCTCCAGTACCTTCACATTGTCTCTCATCTGGCCCCCTGCTGAAAGCTCAAAGTTGGCACCTGCAGCCCATGGCCATCTGTCTTTCACCTCACCCCCTTGCAAATCAGCCAAGCAGTCTGAGCCACAAGTCATGCAGCAGTCTCTTATGCCTTTTGATGACTCTGCTGGCGGGGTTTCTGTGGGCCATCCACCTAGCCCTGCCCCAGAAGTGGAAGAGATTGAGTGCACTGATGCACAACTACTTATGTTTCAGGATGTGGACATGCGAGGACCACCGCAGCATGTCTCTGATGATGATGAAACACAGATGCCAACTGCTGTGCCTTTCTGCAGTGTGCAGACCAGCAAGGAGGGCAGGGCTGAGGAGTGGGTGGAAGATGATGTGGAGGATGATGAGGTCCTAGACCCCACATGGAATCAAGGTCATGCGAGTGACCTGTCTAGTGTGGAGGAAGAGGCGGTGGTCGCACAGAGGCACCAGCACAGCATAAGAGGGAGCAGGGTGCAAAAGCGGATGGGCGTCCCCTAGACAGTACGCCTGATGGCGGTGGCTGTCCCACAGTACGTGGTTCCCAGTCGCCACTACTTTTCCAGGTGAGCCATCCCTTCCCTGCACAACCAATTGGCGGACAAAATCAGGTGTGCACTGTGCAATAACCACTGATACGTGGACCAGTAAGCACGGGCAGGGACGCTATATCTCCCTAACTGCACACTGGGCAAATGTAGTGGCGGCTGGGCCTGAGGCGAATAGCAGTTTTGCGCATGTCCTTCCGCCATTGAGGATTGCAGGGCATTTCTCTTTGCCTCTTGTTGCCTCCTCCTCCTACTCCGCTTCCTCCTCATCCGGTCAGTGTAACACCTTCACCACCAACTTCAGCACAGCCAGGGGGAAACGACAGCAGGCTGATTTAAAACTCATATGTTTGGGGGAAAAACCCCACACCGTGCAGGAGCTATGGACGGGCATGGAACAACAGACCGATGAATGGTTGTTGCCACTGAGCCTCAAGCCCGGCCTGGTGGTGTGCGATAATGGGTGAAATCTCGTAGCAGCTCTGGGCCTAGCCGGTTTGACGCACATCCCTTGCCTGGTGCATGTGCTGAATTTGGTGGTGCAGAAATTTGGTGGTCCTGAAAAACTACCCAGATATATCAGAGCTGCTACAGAAAGTGCGGGCCGTCTGCGTTCTCACCCTGCTGCTGCTCGCCTGTCTGCGCTGCAGCGTAACTTCGGCCTTCCCGCTCACCGCCTCATATGCGACGTGCCCACAAGGTGGAACTCCACCTTGCACATGCTGGAGAGACTGTGCGAGCAGCAGCAGGCGATAGTGGAGTTTCAGCTGCAGTACGCACGGGTAAGTCGCTCTGCGAAACAGCACCACTTCACCACCAATGAGTGGGCCTCCATGCGACACCTGTGTGCCATGTTGCACTGTTTCAAGGTCTCCACCAACATGGCCAGTGCCGATGACGCTGTTCTCAGCCTTACTATCCTGCTTCTATGTCTCCTTGAAAAAACGCTTCGGGTGATGATGGAAGAGGATGTGGCACAGAAGGAAGAGGAGGAGGAAGAGGGGTCATTTCCACGGTTATCAGGTCAGTCATTCACAAGTGGCTCGGAGGGTGGGTTCCTGCACCAGCATAGGCCAGGTACACAATTGTCCAGCCAGGGCACAGTTCTGGAGGATGAGGAGGATGAGGAGGAGGAACCGTGTTCACAGCAGGGTGGCACCCAACGCAGCTCATGGGCATCACTGGAGCATGGCTGGGGGGATACGGAGGACACAGACAATACACCTCCCACAGAGGACAGCTTGTCCTTGCCTCGGGGCAGCCTGGCACACATGAGCGACTACATGCTGCAGTGCCTGCGCAATGACTGCCGAGTTGCCAACATTCTAACTTGTGCTGATTACTGGGTGGCCACCCTGCTGGATCCCCGTTACAAAGACAACGTGCCATCCTTAATTCCCTCACTGGAGCGTGATCGGAAGATGCGCGACTACAAGCGCACGCTGGTAGACGCTCTGCTGAGGGCATTCCCAACTGACACCGGGGGCTCAGTGGAAGCATAAGGCAGAGGAGGAGGAAGAGGTCGCCAACGCACCTGGGGCACCGCCAGCACCTCAGAAGGCAGGGTTAGCATGGCTGAAATGTGGAAAATCTTTGTCAGCACGCCACAACAACCAGCACCACCAGCTGATATGGAACGTCTCAGCAGGAGGCAGCATTTCAGCAACATGGTGGAACAGTACGTGTGCACACCTACTGACTGATGAGTCTGCCCCATTCAACTTCTGGGTCTCCAAATTGAGCTTGTCCTTTATGCCTTTGAGGTGCTGGCCTGTTCCTGCAGCCAGTGTATTGTCTGAACGTGTGTTTAGCACGGCAGGGGGCGTTATCACAGACAAGCACAGCCACCTGCCCACAGCCAACGTGGATAAGCTCACATTTATTAAAATTAACCAGGCATGGATCCCACCCAACTTGTCTGTACCTTGTGCAGAATAGACATTTATACTGGCCTCACCCAGCCATTGTTATACTCAAGTGCACTTATTCTTTGTTTTCTTTTTTTCTATGTCCCAATATTTTGGAGGCTACCACATAAAAAAAAAACAAATAAAAAACAGTGTTGGCTACCTCCTCCTCCTCCACCGCCGCTTCCACCTATACCGCCACGGTCACCACCTCCTCAACCTCCTCCTCCACATCCTACTCCTAGTTCAAGATTATTATTTTAAATTTTTATGTATTTTATGTTATTTTAAGTTATTTCCCTATCCACATTTGTTTGCAGGGCACTTGTCCTACTCTTACCCCCTATTTTACGTCCTTTTGAGGCTCTCTAGCCCTTTCCAGGACTTTTTTAGAGCCATTTTAGTGCCCAAAAATTCGAAGTTCGGCCGAATCCAGGTAAATATGCAACTATACGATGAATAAACACCAACAAATGGTAGAGTATCCTTCTAAAGTTAGATCTCAAGATTGGATGTGACAACCATAACCACTGTATCACTTGTAAAAGATGACCACCACCGGGGGTTAAAAATATAAAAAAGTGTTGAGTGCTTATTGAAATAAATCAATAATAAATACAGGACTCAGTGGAAATGGAAATACAAATTGCAGATTAATAAATGAATAAGGATGTACTTAATTCAAACATCCAGGTGTCCGCTCATCTCTATTTATAATGCACTCTGTTGGTTTCCTCTTATTTTCCATTTTGTGATGGTGATTTTCTATGTATGTGTTTTGTGTTTTCATTAAGTTGTCATATCATTCCACATATATTCTGTGCATCACGTGCATATCACTTATTGGACTTTGGGAAGCAAGCCTTGGGCACAGAAACTAGAGAAGTCATGTTTCCCAGAATTCCCAGTATAGACAGGTATCAGGTTTTAGACTTAACCCTGTATTTCTGCAGGTATCCTTAGCAACGTACACTGTTTGAAACACAGTTGTTGTTGTTGTATATTGTTTAAGCTAAATAAAAAACAAAGCATACATTATGAACCAATGATTTCTTGGAGTTTCTGTGCCAAAGGCAGACATCCCAAAGTGCAACTTCAGATAAGTAGATGATGCACAACAGTCATCATATTTATCAATTCTGGTCTCATCACAAATCATTTGGCATCTAGTTGTATGCTCACAGAGACACTTGAACTTCAAGAGCACCACTGGTGCAAATCTGATGAGACCAAAACGTCTAACTTGTACAGTACATGCCTGATTTCTGGTCACTGGTCCTTTTGGAACACACACACACAAAAAAAAGAGAATCAAACGCAGGTTTTAAGAAAATATTTGCTTAGAACAAAGTCCTTTGCCAAAGGTACCTGCAAAGTGAAGTCTGAAACATGATGTGACTATTATTGAGACATTCAGGTGATACATGTTGTAGCGGAATGGGCTTTGCCACAGCACCTCTATTTGTACTAGGGGCTGTCCATACCCTTTTGTTTCTTTATTTTCTTGGGATTGTAACTGTTCATTACTTGTGGAAACAAGTAACAAGCTATTATGTTGTATCGTTGGTCTGGTTGTTCAGTAAGAATCCCTTTTCAGCTATTTTCACTGTATGGTTCGACAAACCAACTAAGTACCGAACAACCAGGCCACCCATGAGAGGAGCGTGGTGCCAATTGACCTCCCTAACCTGGTTCACACTCTCTCAATTACAAACACACAAACCAACTGGCTGATCCCCTGGGTGGCCACCGTTCGTTATGCGAACACGTGGCGGAGGCCATCTTGGAATACGAATTACACTAGCGGTGTTTGGTCGTCGAGTATCTGGAACCCAAACCAGACACTCAGCGGCACAAACACCGCAGAGACTTCCATCTTCGTGTTTACCTCCCACCAAATAAAACAATCTATTTTCTGTTTTATATCTAGAGTAGCAATGGTTAATATTTGGTATTCCAGCTGTGAGCAGAATTTTCCCTGAAGTTGAGCCACACATAGTTCTGCATCTTCTTGAAAACCTATCAAGACCTATTGATCTTATGGATAAACATTGCTTTCTTCAGGGTGGTGGGAAACACCATCCAAACTCCCTGTGATGTATTCAGGAAGAAGACTTACTGGTGTTTAACGTAGCTGGGCTAAATAAATTACTTACAAACAGTAAAAGAAAGAGTGTAACACCATATCCAGCAGCTCTCGCTAGTCAAGATGGAATAATTCCAAGCTTGATAATGATAATTCTCTGCGCAGATACTCATTGATTGGCTGAGAGCTCTTCAGAAGCGGATGTGGCTGAGCCAAAATTCTTGGAGGCTTGGTGCGAGGCAGCAACCATTGGATCTATATTTTGCACACCTGTTTTGATTTGTTGTAATTTAATGACATTCCCCATCCTTCATGTCTGTTAATTGTGATGTAAAATCTTAAGAAGTTAAAATTATGATTAAAAGCCCATATAAAATGGTAATTGCAGCATAAATTACATACAAACAGTGAAAGAAAGAGTGTAACACAACATTCAGCACCTCTGGCTAGCCAAGACGGAATAATTCCAAGCTTATTCTATGCACAGATACTCATTTTAAGAAGTTAAAATTATGATTGCCATTAACTGTGATATGCAATAAATTTATATTTTAATATTTTCTAGATACTCCTTTATTTGTTAGTACCATTTTGCACCTTAATTGCTTGCTTCTTTTTTTTTCCATTCTAAAGATATCCTGGTATATAATAGCAGCACTTCCCCAGCATCTATAAAATATTTTTTTTTTACATAGCCATTACTTTCATTCTGTCGATGTTGATGCTATGGTATTATTTGCAGCTATTTTAATTAAATGTGGGTACAGAGGTACAACTCATCTACCAACTTAATACTGAAACAGAGTAATAGTAGGCAGGTACACTGCCTTATATCCATTAGGGTGCCTGGTCTATCAATTCAGAGAGCATTTGTAAATCTGAAAGTATTTAACCACTTCATAACCAAAAATATGTATAATTTTTTTGTTTGTTTTTTTTACTTTCAATTACTTTGCAAAATTAAACTTATTCCATAAAGCCTCACTTACACACTCCAATACTCCAGGAATGATTACCAGTTTCTAGAGGGACATATTTCACTGCCAGGAGTCCAAGCCACTTATTGAATGTCTGCAAATGAGCTATAAGTATATTCTATATGATATAGAATACAGAAAGCTTTAAAGATCATAGCATACTTACAGTCAGGGAGAATGAAGGAGTGAACACCTTGCATTAAAGAGATTGATACAGATTGCTATAATACTTTTTTTAAAATAAATATATTAACTGTACTTACTGTAAGTGGGCATTATTTTCAAAAGCAGACATCTTTTTTATATTCTATTGCCATTTTAGCAAACGATACTGCTAGTAATGCCATCAGGGTCCTTACAAATACATATAAGCAGTGTCTGACCATTTTTAATTCTCATTTTTTGTCACAATTACTATGTGTGGGAGGAAATGTGTTTATACTCATATTAGATAAACATTTACGTTTTAGAAAGGATGAATGAATAAATGAAACATAAAAATCATATCAATTTCCAAAATTTGCTTGTTTAGTTTTTCTCAACAGCAATATATACACAAAATTACTGTTTTATCAAGCGTGTACATGCTAGCTATGCATCTCATATTTCAAAAACTGTTATTCTAATATTTTTGCAAACAAAATGTGTTTGGTAGTTAAAGGATTACCAGACTAGTACCTATTTTAGTATTTCTGTCTTAAAGGGAGACTCCAGGCACCCAGACCACTTCTGCCCATTGGAGTGGTCTGAGTGCCAACTCCCACTACTCTTAACCCTGCAAGTGTAATTATTGCAGTTTTCATAAACTGCAATATTTACCTTGCAGGGTTAAGTCCTCCTCTAGTGGCTGTCTATCAGACAGACGAAAGGTGTTGTAAGTAACGCTGGACGTCCACACGCTATGTGAGGACCCCAGTATCGCCAAAATCCCCATAGGAAAGCATTAAATAATGCTTTCCTATGGGGAGGTCTAATGCACGTGTGCGGCCATTGACGGGCATGTGCATTAGGTCTCCCCCGCCGGCTGACGTTGGCAGAGAGTAGGCGGAGCCTGACCAGAACCGAGGGACATCGGCGCTGGACTCCGGTAAGTCACTGAAGGAGTTTTAACCCCTTCAGCAATTTGGGATGGGGGTGGGAGGGACATGGGCACTACAGGGAATCCCTTTAACTGACAACTGAAAGAATTTTCTTTATACCAAAACAAATTTATGACTGGAATTTGACAGTGCTTAAATTTCCTGTTTGCATATTCCGTGACCTTGTTTTATTTCTTCGATGAATCTTCACAGAGCAAATGACCGTAGCAATACACACTAATAATACCACAATGCAGATTACAACTGTCAGCAGAGGTTTATGGCACTCAAAGAATGATAGGTTCACGTCATTGACTAGCTTCCCCTGAAATAAAATGGGGGAATCACATGTGTATCCATCCGGCCAGCCCTCCAGAATCAAACCAGTTTTTTTTATTTCTTTAATTTCATGGTTAAGAGAACAGGAACACAAATATGGAATACTATCTGCCTTAATACTGTTCAGATGTTTGTAATACTGAAGTTGTCCCAGTTGCAGTGTTTTTATGGGATTGCCATCTAAAGCTAACATCTCTAATCTTGGAAGTTTGGCTGTGGTTGGAATAGTGATAAATTTGTTGTAAGACAAATATAGTTTTTTCAGGTTAGGTAATGAGATATTCAGATAATCAAGCTTGTTGTAGCTTAAATCTAGCACGTCACAATTCTGTGGTAGATTATAGTTAATTTCTTCCAAACCTGTATCAGAAAGGTTTAAGAATAGTATAGATGGCTTCCAAATGCAAAAAGAAGTTGACACATTGGATAAGTTATTCTGGCTCAAATCTAGCTGTACTAATTGATTGTATTTCTTCAAAGTCTGGCATATGGTATCCAAATTAACAAAATTATTATGTCGGAGTATTAATGTTTTCAACATAGGGAAAGCATCAGGACAAAACAAAGAAAATATATCATGATCGTCAAGAAGGTTTTCAGACAAATCTAAAGACGTAAGATCTTTAAAGTGTAGACTGGCATTGCATGGTATGCTCTTTAAATTAGATTTCTTCATGGTTAGCTCTTCCAGTTTGTATATCCAACTCCCAAGAGCAGGGAAAGTAGCAGGTCTATCAAACAATGGGTAAGAAGATATGTTGATAAATCGGAGAGATGATATTCGAGGTGGTGATTCACTTATATACAGCCAGCTTGGCTGGCCAACAAACTTCGTGTTCTCAAATGCAAGCACTTCAATTGGTATTCTGTAAACCCATTTTAAAAATGTAGACAAAAACTCTTCAGACAACACTACATTTACAAAGGTGACCTTGGTCAACGGAATGCGGATCATAGCTAGTACCTGCTCCATTTCCACGTTGTATAAAATGTAATCTTGAGTATCTATGAAACTCCCTCCTTGGAACTCGAAACTAGATGCTTGAATGCAAGACACAATACTCACAATATTGGTCAGATCTACAAGTGAGCAAGAGCAATACCTAAGGACTGCATTGTACAAACAATCTCCACCAACCCAAGGCATCCTCTGAGTAATGCAAAGCAGGAACAGGAAAGATTGGCTGATCTTCATGATGAATTGAAAACTGAAAAGAAGCAAATAACATATAAAATTTATATTAAACATTATTCAATATACATATATAAGAATATAATATAAAGTAACAAATAACCAGTGGTGAGAGGCTGTAATTTATTTCTACAAATTCAAGATAAAATGTGTAATTTGCGGCAGTATTTCCCTGCTTTTTGTCACTTAGACATGCTTGGAAAATGAAGTTCACAAGAGTGAATTAATAATGTTGTTGCTTAGCATGATACATTTATTTTAATAGGTGTCAATTGATAAAAGTGAAGCCTGAAAAGGGCCAGTGCAAGAATCTTTTTCCAAAAAGGTGAATATACATTATGTCCCCCCCCTACACACACACTCTACCAGGACCACCATCATTGCCATCAATTTGTCTGAATGGGGCCCTGGATACCCACTGTGTATATATATAAAACCAGGGTTTAGGAGATAGTCAGCAATCAAGGTCTTTAGAGAAATAGACGTTCTTTATTGAAGATTCCCAATAGTCAACGTTTCAGTTCATGCAGGAACTTTCATCAGGACAAAGGTACTCTGACTATCTCCTAAACCCTGGTTATATGCAGTGCAGTCGAGCACCAGGCGATAAAGACATGAAGCAGGAGTGCTAAGCCTACAAACTATTTATATATATATATATATATATGTATATATATATATATATATATATATATATCATGCAAGAACCAGCTCACTTGCTTATACACTAAACAGCAAATTCAAGTCTCACAGAATGTAATAGGTTTATTTAAAAACACCTCATCTAGGCAAAAAATAATAGGGGTTTGGTTACAGTATATGATCATACATTGCATTAGCCTGCCACAACATCAATGTACCCCATTCTTGCAGGTCTTACTATAGCAATCTAGTGACTGCTCTTATGAGATTAATCCACTTGCTTGGAAAATGCTTTCTCTTGGACTCTCTGCAGGTCAAGGCTAAATAGGGCCCTTGAATGAGGCACCTATGACAGGGAGGGGTGTAAACATTTTTTACACATTTCAGACTTGTACTTGCTATTATATAATTACGTTATTACTTATGTAGTATAGGCATTGGTACTCCGTCATCATTTAATTTTTCTCCCTTCCTTCTTCCCCTTGGATTATCATCCCTTTTTTGAGCTTCCCAAACATTGATTTGGGTTCGCTTCTTTCCTAATTAAAGTTAATCAATAGGGGAAGACAAAGAAAGCAAGAGGGAGAAAACTACATTCTTTATACCTTGTCTAATTCCCCATTATGCCCACTCTATACCCTCCCCACAACATTTCTTTAGATCCTATTACAAATTCCATTATTTCCATCCTTTTTTATTTATTTGTCTCTTGGAGAGAGAGATCACCATCCTATGCGCTTTACGGTTTTATTATTTTTGTTTTTATTTATTCGCCCGTTTTTACCAGGGTCAACTTCTTGTCTCTTTATGTTATTAATTGGGAAGATTTCTTACATATTTGTGTAACTATTAGATTAGTGTTTCCATTTTCTTTATCCACATGTCCCACTCTTATATCTGGATATTTCTTTTTCCCAAATTAATTAAAATACCTTTTTCCATTTTTGCCTGCCAGATGACTTGTGATACTTTGATACTTGGGATTTTTCATGTTTTCCAATTTTGTGCTAAAAGTAGTTTGGCTGCATTTGTAAAGTGTTATAGTAACATTAATACTTGTTTTCTCATTATTGGCCATCCTAGATTTAATACGATTACTCCAGGTTCAAAGCCTAGTTTCATATCAGTTATTTGGTGTATTACTTTTATTATATCTTTTCAATAATTGTTTATGGGTATGCATTGCCACGAAATATGGATTAGGCTGCCTTTGTTAACATTGCATCTCCAGCACCTATTCGATGTCACTGGGTAAATTCTCTTTAAACGTTGCAGTGTTAAATACCATCTATTTGAAAGTTTAAATTGTGTTTCTGTAAGATTTAGACAGTGTATATATTTATAGAATTTACTTAGGGAGTTTATCAACTCTTCTTCCTTTATATGTATTTGTAGTTCTTGTTCCATTTTTTTGATCAGTTCTATATGTTAATCATGTTATATACAACCTTAACAGATTTTTGTATTTTTTTTTTTGTTTAAAGAGGTGAATGAGACTAGTTTCTTGTAAGATTAAATGTAGTTTCAAATAACGAGGGCATTTTTAATCTTTCCAGCAAAACTCTAAATGAGGAACAATTAAGAGTACTCAATTAAGGGTTAAAATTTGCCCCACAGAAAGGTCCTAATTCATTTGAGTTGTTTATCGACACTCAAAAGTTTTTAAGGAGACTAACTCTTAAAAAAAAAATTAAAATTAAAAAGTGAATAACACCAAGGAGTTGGAATCTATTACTGGAGAGAACGTTTTGGAAGATGATTCTAATAACCTAGAAATAGTCCATACAGACTTGAAACATAAGTCTAAGTTTTTTCCAACATGGGAAAAGGGAGAATTCATCCCTGTTTTTAGTAAAATGATTTTATCAGAATTCAATAAGCTATCCAAAAACAGCGGGAAAGAAAATCTAACAAAAAGAGAAAGAATGGCACTAAAACAATTAAAAGAAAACCAAGACTTAGTCATAAAGTAGGCTGATAAAGGTGGAGGGATATTGATTTTAAACCATGAAGACTATATGAGAGAAGCAATGCGCATATTGGGTGATACAACTACATGTAAGATTTTCAAGAGCAATCCAATGGAAATTTTTAAGGCACAACTATTGACTTTATTAAATGAAGGTTTTAACAATAAGGTTATAAGCAGAGAAGAATTTGATTATTTATTTGTGAAATCACCAAGGTTGGCAGTTTTCTATTTTTTGCCAAAGATTCACAAATGATTGGACAATCCACCTGGGAGACCAATCACCAGTGGTATTGGGTCCCTGACTAGTAATGTTTCAGAATATGTGGATTTTTTTTCTTACAGAGGTTCATAGTTCAAGCTCGCTCTTTTATTAAAGACTCAAGGCAAGTTATTTTAGAACTCGAAGGTCGTGACTGGGAAGAGCATTATTTGTGGGCAATAGTAGATGTAACTTCGCTCTACACCGTCATTGACCATATGAAGGGCATACAAGCAGTAAGAGAGACAATGGAGGCAGACCCCCATATGAGCGTATTGCAGACTGAGTTCATTTTAAGTGCCATTGAATTTATTCTTTACCACAATTTTTTTTGGTTCAATGGTAGTTTTTATCTACAGACATGTGGTAATGCAATGGGCACCAGGTTTGCGCCAAGCTATGCCTATATTTTTGTGGCAAACTGGGAAAAAAATAACATCTGGAACAACAACCCTTTTGGCACAAACCTGGTGCTCTGGAAGCGATATATAGACGATGTCTTGATTATTTGGAAAGGCCTTAGAGCTATTTTAGATGAGTTTTTAAATTATATTAATTCTAATTTTTATAATTTAGTCTTCACTGCGGAAGTACAATCAACTGAAATCAACTTCCTGGATCTTACCTTTTTTATCAAAGATGGATATATACAGAATAGAACATTTTTAAACCCACTGATGGCAACAGTTTTATTGAGTTTTCTAGTTGCCATCATCCTTACTGGCTCATAAATATCCCGAAAAGACAACATATGTGATTATACAGAAATTGTACTGAGAAGGAAGATTTATAGAATGCAAGCACAAGTTTTAAATAAAAAATTTAATAATAGACATTATCCAATGGATCTTATAGAAGAATCACAGAAACAAGTGGAAAAGCATAATAGAAGAGATTTTTTATTTAAAATAACAAAACCAGAGAACAAAGATTTTAATATGGCATTTATTACAAAATATAATAGTAAGGCCTACTCAATTGAAAAAACAATTAAGACGTTTTGGCCAATTTTAGTTCAGGATGAATTTAAAAAAAAATGTTTTACCTAATAAACCGCATATAAAAGAACGGAGAATCTTAAATCCATTTTAGCTCCAAGCGTCCTATCAGAACTAAAGATAAGCAAATACCTAATGACAACTAACAATAGTTTTTTAATAGGAAAACCAATATTTTTTTACAAGTGCGGCAGATGCAGCACTTGTAAATTTCAAACCTATAAAATATTAGATTTTAAAAGCTATAGTACAGGGGAGTCTTTTAACATTAAACATTTTATAAATTGCCAAAGCAAAAATGTGGCCTATCTGCTACAGTGTAAATGTGGCATACAATATATAGGAGGCACTATACGTAAATTGCATGTACGACTTCTAGAACATTTCAATGGCATCAAGAGAAATAATGTCAAACACTGTGTACCAAGGCATTGCAACAACTGCAAGGAATTTAAATTTGAAAATGTTAGCTGCATTGGTATTGACATTGTCACCCCCCATTGGAGAAGAGGTGAAATGGAAAAGCGACTTGCCATGAAAGAGACCGAATGGATTTTTACATTGAAGACCTCAATTCCAGACGGTCTCAATACAGATTTGGATATTCTGGTTTTTATGGATTGATTCCATTGAAATGCCTAGAGTCATAGCCACTTTTACAGTTTTAAAACTTTTTATTCATCTTTTTATATATGTGTTTTTTTTATGCCAGTATATTATAATTATCTCAGTTTTTGTATCTCCTAGGGGTCATCACAAGTAAATGTCTATATACATTTTTATTTATTTATTTTAGTAAATTATTCCTATTTTTATATCTATTTTTATTTTATTCTGCTTCTTTAAAGATTGTGTATCCCAAATACTTTCCTGAATATTAATTTGATATTCTTGATATCATGATTTTCCTTGTCTGATGAATGAATTTGCTATTCTGAGATGAATTTGTCATTTTTAAATGGATAATATTTTAATGGATCAGCTATATGAAAATATTTTATTGATGGGTATTATCACCTTAATTATTGAACACTTTATCTCTGTTATATACCTTGTTATTTCTAATTTACGATTTATCCACCAATCTATGGTTTACATGCATCAAGGTAGTTTTTAAATAGCTTCATGTAATCACAATCACAACTACCGTATATGATATATTTTTTATATTCAGAGTTTTTTTTATATTCACAGTTGTTTTGCACACACTAAATAGATTGGTGGATTTCATGTTACAATGCATAGGGCTATAGACCGGCACTTGTTACATAGATAGCCGAGTCCCGTCCAATGTGCCGAAATAAATAAAGTTAATCTACGTTCCACAATGGAACACACGTGGGCGGCAGACATTTGGCATGATGATGTCACGTCGCAAGAGGACGCAACCCGGCAGATTTAAATCGCCGATCGTAGAAGAACGAACATTCTCCTGAGGAAGTCTGCAACAAAGAGACGAAATGCGCTGAGCACTTTATACAGCCCAGGAAGGATTTCGGCAGCTAGAGGTACCAGAATTACTTGAACTGATAGGCAGCCAGTGAAGGAAAATCGCTGAAGCACTGAACTACCTCCTTAAAGACTGCTGTATCCAGCGTAACAGCCTATTATAGGCTAATACACTTTTGCACATATTGATTCATTTTAATTGTGCCATTTTATTTGTGAGTGTTCCATTTTTATTCTGTTTGTTAATTAAAGCTATTTTGCACTATGAAATTTCTTTTTTATCTTTATGTGAGTTCTTCAAGCTCATCATGCAGTTGGTAATTATATTCACCACTGTGTTTGTGAAAGTGGTGCCCTACACTGTATTTGCATTTTGTTGTTGTACAGTTTTCCGTTGCACTAGTTACTTTTCTTTCCTTACTTTTAAGGAGGTATTCTGCCATAAAGCTTTTAATTCGCAAGTAACCAAAGATTTCATTCATTGAGATAGAACATTCCTCTCTAATTTGATTAACCCCTTAAGGACACATGACGGAAATATTCCATCATGATTCCCTTTTATTCCAGAAGTTGTGTCCTTAAGGGGTTAAATTACTTAATTTGATGTCCCCCTATTATATCTCTAAGCTTGCTTATCCCTCCAGTCTTCCAAGGTTCTATTTTTATATTATCTAACATATCTGAAATGATAGTGGAAGTGCCTCAATTATTCTATTCTTAAGTCCTATTTTAGCTAAAAATCTATCCCACCAGCTCATTAATTCTTTGAGTGTCAGTGATTTATTTCTTGCCTCATTAATACGTTTTCTATTAAGATTCAGAATCCAAAATAGTGAAGTTAAATTCCCTATCCCTGTTTTAGCTTTTTCAATTTTATACCATGTCTCATGAACCGCTGCATTATTTTGTGATAGCATTATATGAAATAATCTGCTGGCCTGATAACATTGTAAAATTTCTGGGCAACCTAGGCCTCCATCTTGTCTTGACCTAGCTAAATTTTTAATTTTCACCCTTGCTTTCTTACCACCACAGATTAATTTTATAAAAGCTGAATGTAATAATGATAGCCAGTTTTCTCAAAAATTAAGAGGTATCATTCTTCATAGGGACAGCCATTTTGGTAAAATGTATGCTTTTAATATATTGATTCTACCCGACCATGAGATACCCATTCCTCTCCAATCTCTTAAGTTTTTATTAGTTTGTTTTAATAAAGATAAAAGGTTGGCTTCTATTAAATCTTTTAAATTTTAAGTTATAGTTATATCCAAATATTTCAGCCTATCTTTTTTTCCTGGGAGCCCAATATTTTTTACAAGAAAATCGGTAAATGTTTTATCAATATTTTTAGCTATAAAAAGTGATTTGTCTAAATTAATCTTATATCCTGAAACTTTAGAGTATTGATCTATCTGTTTCAGTAATTTCTGGGACCGATGTTTCTGGTTCTTCTATCGTCAGTAAAATATTGTCTGCATAGATATTCAGTCTTGATTGTCCTACCTAATCCGACCTAAAGCCTCTGATTTTCTGATTTTGTCTTATTAAAATCGCTAGAGGTTCTAGCACCATTATACATTGTAAAGGGGAAAGAGGACACCCTTGTCTTGTTCCATTTTTAATATTAAAATATTGTGACACAAATCCTAACCTTTTGACTTTGGCTGATGGAGAGTAGTAGAGAGCGAATATAGCCTGTAGTATTGGACCATTAATGCAGAATTGTTTTAAGGTCAGACGCATGAAACCCCATCCCACCTTATCAAATGCTTTTTCTGTTTCTATTGATAAAAGCAAGAGTAGGATTCCAGTTGTCTCTGTTTCTTCTAGTATGCTTATTATTTTCCTTATGTTATTAATTGGGGACTTCCCTGGTATAAATCCAACTTGGTCATTATTAATTAGTTGTGGTATTACTATCTTTAGCCTTTGAGCAAGAATAGAGGATAGTATTTTGATATCTGTGTTAATCAGCAAAATAGGTCTATAATTGCTGATCAGTTCAGGGTCTTTGTCCACTTTTTGTATAGGGACTAAATTCGCTCTCAGTATCTCCTCAGCACATCTTCCTGATCCCATTATGTAGTTACAAATATTTGTAAGTTCTCCTTTTATCTGATCTTTCATTAATTTGTAATATTTATTTGTGAAGCCGTCCGGGTCTGGAGCGGTCTTTATTTTAAGCTTCTCTATTGCTTTACTACCCTATACTTCTGTTATGGGTTGATTAAGCAGTTTCAGTTGGTCAGGCAGAATTTTTGGCATTTGTATATCCTTGAAGAATTTCTCAATTTCTTCTTCCGTCTAATAATATTCTTCTGGTAAGTTATACAAATATCGGTAGAATTTTTCAAATGCACTTCCTATTTTTTTCTGGGGCTATTACATATGTTTCGTTTTCCTTAATTTTATATATTACTCTTTTGTACCTTTCTTTTTTCAATTTATTGGTCATTAATGCGTCTGGTTTATTACCTTTTAGATACCACTTGACTTGGAATCGTTCTAACATTTTGGCTGCTCTGTTTGTTAGCTGATTATCTTAATTGCTGTTTGTGTAGAAGTGTTAATTTATTTTAAAAAAAATTTTATAATCACTTAGTTTTATATATAGTTCCTGGAGGGTGGTACTTTTTTTTTTCGATAGCTGACATTTTTATCATATGCCCTCTAAGTACACTTTTGTACGCGCACCGGACCGTGATGTCTGATGTATCTTTATTCTTGTTTTCTAAAAAAAAGATCTTTTTTATTATTAAATAATAAAATAAAAGTTATTTTCTTGATATCTTCAACGTTATTTTTTTTGTAGTATATGGTCTCCCAAACGCCAATCTTTACGGAAGATGTCAAAGGTATCTTTATATTCTAACACGATTGGACTATGGTCTAACCATGTTATGACTTGTATTTCTATTCTTTTAACAAGATACAACATGCTCACATTTCCCAATATGAGGTCTATTCTAGAATAAGAGTTATATGTTCTAGAGTTACATGTATAATCCAGATCAGAAGGGTGGAATATTCTCCATATGTCTCTTAAATTGTAGTTGTTCAGTAAATTTTGCAATCTATCCTCATTTGGTATCCTAATTTTTTTATCATTCTGACTCTTTCTATTTTTTTAATGGATCAATCACACTGTTAAAATCCCCCATAATCAATGTCAGTCCTTGCTGAATTTGCTCTACTTTCTTAAATACTTTTGCCATACAATTTATTTGGTGCATAAATATTAACTAGTGTAAATAACTTATTATTTATTTCACATACTAAAATAATATATTGACCTTCAAGATCTAATTCTTGATATAAACTATTTAGAGAGACATTTTTGGCCAACAAGCCTCTTTTTTTTTTTTTTTCAGAGCAGCACTTATAATAATGGGGTATTTTGCTGAGCTAATTGTGTTATTGATAGATTTTTCCCAGTGTGACCTTGCAACGCACAAATTTATATCCGATTTCTAATCAAGAAATCTAAAATTATGGACCTTTTGCTAGGCATGTTGATCCCATGGGCATTTATTGAACGGAAAATGACATTTGTTTATAATTACATAAAAAAAGACAGGTTGTTCCAGAATACTGGACTCAACATTAGACAAAGACTTTGTATGGCAAAAATCCCCCGCCATACTATACCGCGAGTAAATAAACACATTATTTGAATGTTGATCCCATGAACCGTGTGGGAAGTGGGTTCTGAGGATAGACTTTCTAAAGGAAACCTTTTTAAAAATGTTACAGAGGCAGAATAATAATAAAAAAAAATAATAGACTTTCTTTTTCTTTTTCCCTTCTTAAAGGGACACTCCAGGCACCCAGACCACTTCTGCCCATTGGGGTGGTCTGGGTGCTAACTCCCACTACTCTTAACCCTGCAAGTGTAATTATTGCAGTTTTTTATAAACTGCAATAATTACCTTGCAGGGTTAACTCCTCCTCTAGTGGCTGTCTAGAGGGCACTTCCACTAGAGGGCACTTCCTGCATCATAGCACAGGAAACCTGTGCTAGAGCATTGCTGGATGTCCTCACGCTGTGTGAGGACCTCCAGCGTCGCTCATTTCCCCATAGGAAAGCATTTTCAATGCTTTCCTATGGGAAGTTCTAATGCGCATGCGGTCTCCAAGGCCCGTGGGCGGGATCAGTCTCGCCCACCGGCCGACGCAATCACAGGGAGGAGCGGTGGCGGAGGAAGAAGCAGCGACGTGGGACATCGTCGCTGCCTCAGGTAAGTTACTGAAGGGGTTTTCACCCCTTCAGCAACCGGGGATTGGGGGGTGGAAGGGAGAGGGGACCTGCAGTGCCAGGAAAACAGATTGTTTTCCTGGCACTGGAGTTTCCCTTTAACTCATTACCTGTGTATATTTTATATTCATCCTTCCTTCGTACTGTTGTGATATCTTTCTTTAATTCATTAGTTTGTGTAATTTCTAGTATAAGAGAGTGCCCTTATATCCATCTTATCATAATTTATCCTTCTTGTGTTTAGTCTACATTTTGTGTAGTATCAATTTTGCTAGTTATTCACCTTAATGTAGGGTGTTTATACTTCCTTTCGTGTCTTATGTATTAACTTAAGTGAGTGTTTTGTAATTGATCAAACCATAAATGTGATATATATTTCTATCTTTATCTTATTGTCTAAATTTAGTATTTCCTAGTTTCTAATTTCCTTTCTCCTATTCCTTTTGTTAATTTTATTTGCACATTATCCCCTAGTACCCTGTTCACATGCAGAGAAAAAACACATTTAAAAAAAATATCTACATATAACTATATATATATATATATATATATATACACACAACCCCTCCCTTGTTTTATATGTATGTATATATATATATATATATATATATATATATATATATATATATTATTATTATTTTTTTAACCTAATTCCTTTTGTTCCCCATGCTTTTTCTGATTTGGTTTCTCTATTTGAGGAGTCTAATCTCGCTGATGCAAATTTCCCTCTTTCACTTTCTTTCTTTTCCTCGCCTTTTCCCTTCCATCATTCCCATTCCCTCCTTTCCCTTTCTCATTCTTCCTTTCCTTCTTTTAATTTGCTAAGGCATTGTTTGTTGATGGATTTTTGGTGCCACTTCCAATTTTCTTTGCAGTTATCCAGCTTTTTAGGTCTTCTGCTTGGCTAAAGGGAATAGACCTACCATCGTGTAGTATAATGATTTTCTTGGGGAAACCCCATCGGTATTTCACGTCGTTGTTTCTCAATATAGTGATGCTGTCTATAAAGGTTTTCCTCATTTGTCTGGTTTGCCATGATAGATCCTGAAATATTTTCAGAGTCTCATACTCTTTTGCGCATTTACACTCTCTTGTAGCTCTTATTATTTGTATCTTGAGTTTAAAAGAGGCACAGCATATCATTACATCTCTTGGTAGATGGGCTGGGACCCCTTTTAGTTTATTCACTCTATGACACCTATCCATCATAGGATTTTTGTAGTCCCAATCAACCTCCAAATGTTTGATAAAACCTTCTACGTATGATTTGAGGTTTATTGTGTGTATTTGTTCTGGTATTCCTCTGATTCTTAGGTTATTTCTTCTTGACCTGTCTTCCAGGTCTATCAATTTGTTCTCCACATCAATCATTTTTCTTTCTAGTGCCATATATTCTTCTCGGAGGACCTTTTCCCTTTGTTCCATCAGGCCTAGTTTTTCCTCAGTACCTTCGATTCGTGAACCAAGAGTCAATTATTCTTTCTTAATCTCCAAAGTAATTGCTTGAATTTCTTCTATCATTTCCCCAAATTGTATATCTAGATGTTTAAGTTGTCATAGTAATTTCCTTCTAGTCTTGGTTCTTCATTTTCCTCACTTTGTTGTTTACTGATGTCTCCCACTAGTGGGTTATCTAACAAAAGGGATTCCGACAGATTTGATTTGCTACCTGGGGGATGTGGTGAAAAAAAGCAGAGGCGTTTTTCTGGTTTATTTTTTATCTTTTTTTCATCTATTTGCCATTTTGTATCCTCTTAGTGGGCATTTTTATTTTGTTTCAGATAATCTTTTATAAAAGGCTATGGTTTATTTGATGTAGGGCTACCTTTGGATGCCTTTAACCCGTTAACGCCGTTACGGCGTTCTATGGCGTCCCACATTTAGGGGGCTATTAAGCCGTTGCTTTGAGCCCCTGGAGATCGGAGGTACTTAGCTCCGCCGCAATCCTCTTCTCGAGGGTTGCCTGACAGAACAGGCAGCCCTCCCCCGGCAAATAAGGCCCCCTATAGCTGGCTGTGGATCTGCCAGCAGGGGGACTGTCTGAAATGTCAGACAGTCCCCCTGCTGGTGGGAAGTATAAAAAAAATAATTAGACAAGTTTAAAATTAAAATAGAAATGTATTTATATATATATATATAATATATGTATCTCTATTATATATATATAATATATATATATATATACATATTATATATATGTAACATCATACAAAGTGTATTTTAATATTAATATAAGTACATATATTAGTATTAAAATACACTTAGAATGACATGACATATATATAATATATATATTATATATATATATATATATATATATATAATAGATATATACACATATATTATATATATATATATATACACGTATAATTACAATAATAAATAAATAAAATAATAAAATAAAATATTGAAACAAAATTTTGTATAAATTACATATTCATATGTAATTTCATTCTAACTGTATTTTGTTATTAATATATATATATACAGGGAGTGCAGAATTATTAGGCAAGTTGTATTTTTGAGGATTAATTTTATTATTGAACAACAACCATGTTCTCAATGAACCCAAAAAACTCATTAATATCAAAGCTGAATATTTTTGGAAGTAGTTTTTAGTTTGTTTTTAGTTATAGCTATGTTAGGGGGATATCTGTGTGTGCAGGTGACTATTACTGTGCATAATTATTAGGCAACTTAACAAAAAACAAATATATACCCATTTCAATTATTTATTATTACCAGTGAAACCAATATAACATCTCAACATTCACAAATATACATTTCTGACATTCAAAAACAAAACAAAAACAAATCAGTGACCAATATAGCCACCTTTCTTTGCAAGGACACTCAAAAGCCTGCCATCCATGGATTCTGTCAGTGTTTTGATCTGTTCACCATCAACATTGCGTGCAGCAGCAACCACAGCCTCCCAGACACTGTTCAGAGAGGTGTACTGTTTTCCCTCCTTGTAAATCTCACATTTGATGATGGACCACAGGTTCTCAATGGGGTTCAGATCAGGTGAACAAGGAGGCCATGTCATTAGATTTTCTTCTTTTATACCCTTTCTTGCCAGCCACGCTGTGGAGTACTTGGACGCGTGTGATGGAGCATTGTCCTGCATGAAAATCATGTTTTTCTTGAAGGATGCAGACTTCTTCCTGTACCACTGCTTGAAGAAGGTGTCTTCCAGGAACTGGCAGTAGGACTGGGAGTTGAGCTTGACTCCATCCTCAACCCGAAAAGGCCCCACAAGCTCATCTTTGATGATACCAGCCCAAACCAGTACTCCACCTCCACCTTGCTGGCGTCTGAGTCGGACTGGAGCTCTCTGCCCTTTACCAATCCAGCCACGGGCCCATCCATCTGGCCCATCAAGACTCACTCTCATTTCATCAGTCCATAAAACCTTAGAAAAATCAGTCTTGAGATATTTCTTGGCCCAGTCTTGACGTTTCAGCTTGTGTGTCTTGTTCAGTGGTGGTCGTCTTTCAGCCTTTCTTACCTTGGCCATGTCTCTGAGTATTGCACACCTTGTGCTTTTGGGCACTCCAGTGATGTTGCAGCTCTGAAATATGGCCAAACTGGTGGCAAGTGGCATCGTGGCAGCTGCACGCTTGACTTTTCTCAGTTCATGGGCAGTTATTTTGCGCCTTGGTTTTTCCACACGCTTCTTGCGACCCTGTTGACTATTTTGAATGAAACGCTTGATTGTTCGATGATCACGCTTCAGAAGCTTTGCAATTTTAAGAGTGCTGCATCCCTCTGCAAGATATCTCACTATTTTTGACTTTTCTGAGCCTGTCAAGTCCTTCTTTTGACCCATTTTGCCAAAGGAAAGGAAGTTGCCTAATAATTATGCACACCTGATATAGGGTGTTGATGTCATTAGACCACACCCCTTCTCATTACAGAGATGCACATCACCTAATATGCTTAATTGGTAGTAGGCTTTCGAGCCTATACAGCTTGGAGTAAGACAACATGCATAAAGAGGATGATGTGGTCAAAATACTCATTTGCCTAATAATTCTGCACTCCCTGTATATATATATATATATATATATATTTATATATATATATATATATATATATATATATGTAACAAAATACACTTAAAATGACATTCTATATATATCTATCTATATATAAAATACAAATAACCGCAAATATATATATATATAGATAAATACATATTACATAAAATATTACATTAGTATACACGTAGAATTTAAATACCTATAAATGCATATATATTAAAATTCTACATGTAGATTTAAGTAATCTTTTAACATAATTATGTGATTTGATTAATTAAAATTTGATTGACATGCCTGACAACACAGGGAGAAAGTGCAGAGAATTTAATTCGCAAGCACTATATTTGACCCTGTAACTCTCCAAGACACCATAAAACCTGTACATAGGGGGTACTGTTTTACTCAGGAGACTTCGCTGAACTCAAATATTAGTGTTTCAAATTTCATTTTTTTGACATTGAAATTTGCCAGATTGGTTATGTTGCCTTTGAGAGCGTATGGTAGCCCAGGAATGAGAATTACCCCCATGATGGCATTACATTTGCAAAAGTAGACAACCCAAGGTATTGCAAGTGGGGTATGTCCAGTCTTTCTTAGTAGCCACTTAGTCACAAACACTGGCCAAATATTAGTTTTTTGCTTTTTTTCACACAAAAACAAATATGAACACTAACTTTGGCCAGTAATTGTGACTAAGTGGCTACTAAAAAAGACTAAAAATACCCCACTTTCAATACCTTGAGTTGTCTACTTTTTCAAATGGTATGCCATTATGGGGGTAATTCTCATTCCTGGGCTACCACACCGTCTCAAAGGTAACATTACTAATCTGGCAAATTTAAATTTGAAAATGGAACGTTCTATATTTGACCCTGTAACTTTCCAAAACACCATAAAACCTGTTAATGGGGGGTACTGTTGTACTCGTGAGACACTGCTGGTTACAAATATGGGCATTCTTTTGCCGTAAAACCTAACAGCATTATGACATTCACAGCTAAAATGTCAGACGGAAATACAAATTAAAAAAAAAATCTTCTTTTCTCACATTTTTTTCAATTTTATTTATAATAAATTATGTTCCATATATAAATAGTTAATGATACATTAAAGCCCTGTTTCTCCTGAACAAAATTATATATAATAAGTGTGGGTGCACTTAATGTGACAGCGGTGAATTACGGTTGAACAGACATATAGAGCAAATTCCAGTTTTTGTTTATGTTTTGTTTTGATCAGAACATGCACTATTGACTCCATCCTGAAGGGGATAATATTCTTCTTCTTTTAAAAAAACCCTTCTTCCTCCTTTTCTCCCTCCTAACCCCTCTCTTACCCTGCCTTGCAAAACACAATTAAGTGAATTAGACCCTTTTCCTTCCCCCCCCCTTACCTTTTATTCTCCTCCCCCCTTTTTTTCCCTCTCCTATTTCCTTTCCTTTTCTGACTATTTCTGCTTTCTTTTTTTTTCTTTACTTAGCAGAACCCATTGAAAGCACCACCAACGCTTGTTAATTTTAACTAAGCAATTAGATTTTTAGGCACTTAGCTTTTGAGGGACTGATCCAAGTGCAGGTGTGTTGTCACAGCATTCCCACCGCAATCAGCTTGACTGTCTGATTCAAAGCTAAAGCTTTTGATTGAGACAATTGTCTCAAAGTAATGCGTGTCCCTTTAATTATCATTTTTCCAAAGTGGAATGTCCTTCTCCTTTAGCAGTAAAAGGTCTGTATAACGCAGGCTGTGAAGTTATGGTGGTGACTAAATTTTTAAGACGTGAAGAGTTAATTCCATGTTTAGTTGAAGCCTCTAATAAAAGCACGTTTTTCATAATAAGAGCGAAAGACCTAAAAGTATATTGCGTAATTTCACAATTGTTTTGGGCAATTTGTGTCATGTGTTTCACAATTCACCTAATTATATTAAGAATTGCTTCTCTCTATAAATTTTTACAGATTCTTCATTCAGTTTTAGTTTTTTTTAGTAAACAAAAACAGATAAATCATTTTGTTTAAAGGCATGTTGGAAATCTTGTGCCATAACACACAACTCTGAGTCATTTGAACAGACTGTTTCTATTGAATAATGGAGACTTGGGGATGATGACAAAAATGGAATTTCCATCCAATATCTCAATAATAAAGCATCTGTGTTATTTGGTGAGTAAAAGAATAGCTGTATTGTTATACACTTACACAGGGTCCTTTATATGACAATATAATGATGATAAGCATCAGTAATGTATTTCTTATTTTCCAGGTTGTGAAATGTGATTATGTCTTACTTTTTTTACTTGTATGGAGCTACAGTACTTTTTTTACTTGTATAGAGCTACTGTACTTAAAGATCAAACAGCAGAGCTGTGTTATACATTGAGAGACTGTTAGGTACCCGGTGGTCACAAATTCTAAGTTAACAAGGACAGAAAGACACACAGGGTTATTCACTAAGTCCATATGGTCCCGTACCGAATGGGGCAAAATCATTTGGTTTCATTTTAAGCTATTTGGACTACAAAATCCCAACATTGTTCACACTATTATACAATGTCTTGATTTTGCAATTTAAGCTTAACCGAAATCTTAACTATTTGCCTGCTGTAGTTTCAAATAATAAAAAAAGAATTAAAAAAAATGTTTGTATTTGAATAACCTTTTTACTATGGTTTTACTTTGAGCTCTATATTGGTTGTGTGTCTCGTAGATCAATCTTTGTTTCTTGTGTAATTCTTCTATTACTTACCTAGTCTTTGTGCATTTGTCCTGTCTAGGGGTAAAATAATAAATATGCGTAGCTTTAAAGCGGCACTTGAACCCCCCTCCTCCTTAAAAAAAATACTTTATAAAGTATTAATTTTAACTGTGTTGGAATATCACTTAAATACAAAATTATGCAGATCAAATTTATAGGAGGAGCAGAGTATATGTACATGTACCCAGTATGTGTAACTCACAAGAGATATGAAATGATAGTATGTCGATGAATTCAGAGAACAGAACTCTCCCCTAAAACTCTTCCCTGCCAGGCACTCTGTGTAGTGTGGCCGAGTGGAGCAGCATGCACCGCGGTACAGGAACTAATTTTTTTCTGTACTCGGCAGGACTGAAAGGAAGCACTTCCTGTCAGTCCGGGGTACAGGAAACTGAAGTTCCTGTGTGGTCTGCTCCGCTCAGCCACACTACAATAAAGGTAGGAGACCTACCGGGGGGATAGAGAGGGGCACTAAGGGACGGGGTAAGGAACACTGCAGGACAGGGAGGGGGGTGGGTGGTAAGGAGCATATGGGAGAGGGAAGTGGGGTCGGTAAGGAGCATATGGGACAGGGGAGGGGAGTGGGTTATAAGGAACACTATACAACAGGGGAGGGGAGTGGGTGGTAAGGAGCACTATGGGATGGGGAGGGGGTGGTAACACCACTAAGGGACAGGAGGGGTGGGTGGTAAGGAGCACTATGGACAGGGAGGGGTGGGTGGTAAGGAGCACTATGGGACAGGAGGGAGTGGGTGGTAGGAGCACTATGGACAGGGGATGGGGTTAAGGAACACTATGGGACAGGGGGTGGGGAGGTGGTGGGCGAGCACTATGGGACAGGAGGGGGGGGTGGTAAGGAACACTATGGGACAGGGGAGGGGAATGGGTGGTAAGGAGCACTATGGGACAAGGGATGGGGGTTAAGGAAAACTTTGGGACAGGGGTGGGGGAAGCACAAATATGGGACAGGGGAGAGGAGTGGGTGGTAAGGAGCACTATTGGACAGGAGAAGGGAGTGGGTGGTAAGGAGCACTATGGGACAGGGGAGAGGAGTAGGTGGTAAGGAGCACTATTGGACAGGAGAAGGAAGTGGGTGGTAAGGAGCACTATGGGACAGGGGAGGGCGGTGGGTGGTAAGGAGCACTGTGGGACAGGGGAGGGGAGTGGGTGGTAAGGAGCTATATGGGACAGGGGAGGGGAGGGGGTTGGTAAGGAACATTATGGGACGGGGAGGGGGGTGGTAAGGAACACTATGGGACAGGGGAGGAACAGAACTCTCCCCTAAAACAGTTTGCTACAGTTTGATACTAGGAATTCCAAGCTTAGTTATGGTTTAATCCTTTCAAACCCCATTTAGTCCATAAGGGGGGCACTAAGAGACAGGTAAGGAGGACACACTAATGGATATGGAGGGAAGGAGAGAGGAACACAGGGGGGCCTGAGTGGGGAGAAAAAACACACAGAGTGACATGAGAGGGGCTGGGGATGAAAGTGACACACAGAAGGGCCTTGGTGTGGAAATACTAAGGGGCTGGGGGTGAAAGAGACACAGAGGGGCTGGAGAAGAGGAAAAGGAGTCACAGAGGGGCTGGTGGTGAAAGACATGCACACAAAGGAGCTGGTAAGAGTAAAAGACACAAAGGGGCTGGGAGAGAAGGAGACACACAAAGGGGATGGGGGGAGTAAGACACACAAAGGGGGGTTGTAAGTGATACACAGGGGAGGTATAAGACACACAATGGGGAAAGTAAACACAGGGGATAACATACACTAAAGGGGGTAAGACATTTTAAAAAGGGGATAAGAAACAAAAGGTGGCTAAAGGGGCACACAGATGAAGATGCTTTTGGTTGGGTGGGTGGGGGCGCCAAAATCATCTTCACCTGTGTACCCAAAAATCCTTGCACCAGCCCTGTTTAGGACTGATCACTTGTCAGGACTGTCAAAGTAAAAAAAAACTAAGCCTGGTCCTGTAAGGCTTAATCGCAGTAATTCAGTCATATCTGTCAAATAATCACACATAATAAATTGCAATCACTAATACAATATTTTAACCCACACTGCTTTCAATCACTGGTTAAGACTATAATGTATGCAAAAACAAAACAAAATCTCCAACAGTATATAATTCAGAAGCCATTTTGTTGTCATTTGTAAATGCCAAGGTATTTGGACATTAACAAAAACACAATATCCTATTGCACACATTCTCTGTGACAAGCAATCTGAGTGTCTGTACCCTTGATGCATTTTCCATACTGTGAATTATTTGGTAAAATATATTGGAGTTTATTCACTAAGCAGAGATTTGAGGTGACAATATAATTTGACAGCCAGATGGAAAAGTATATGCCAAACGAGTTGAGCCAAAAATAAATAAATAAAAAATTCCATCTTGACTCTTTTTCCAGAATGTCTTTTTGGCTTCAAGTTCCATCATGCAGGGTTATTCGTTAAAGTGAGAAAAATGTGGAATTAAAAGTCAACTCACTAAATTTGAAATACACTTTGAATAACCCTGTTAATGCCAATTCACCAAAAAACATATTAATTAGTGATTAAGCTTCTAATAAAACTTATACCGCTAGATACGCAATAAAAAGAAAAACTGAGAAAAATATTATTCCTATGATGTTCTTGGTACTTGTTATACTTCAGCTACTCCAAAAATTGGGTGTTCATTTTACTTGGCAGAGAAACATTAGTTTTATATTTCTGTTTAATTTTTTTCATTTATTGTCGATTTTTTCCATTACTAATTTTTTTTTCAGGCCTACTGTTTTGGCCAAAATTTCACAAGTCACTTAGTTCACTCTTAGATTTGTGAATAAAACACATAATATATATAGGAAGTGAACTCTAATTAGTTGAAAGATATTTTGCTAAATTTAGAGGATTACAGCCAGGTTTGAAAAATACTGGAAATAACTCCTCACAGCATTCCATTTGAGAGTTATTACATACAATGGCAAATAGTTTACTAGACCTTTTCCAACCAATTGGCTATTTTTGTTTCTTAATGTACAATTTATAAACAAGGACAAGCCAAGCGTCACTAACATCCTGATTGCAGGACTTTCAACACCTTGTATGGATGTAGCTAAATTGCTCTTTCCTTTCCTCATCTCATTCTCCTCTTTTTATTTGTACCGCAGGAATCATTGAATGATATTAAGTTAAGTGAGAATTCAAAGTGAATTTTAGTTTTAAGGCCAGAGTAGCCGAACTGAAGGCATAGTTGACTTAGAGAATTTTTCCACTTTGGCTATTTGACCTTAAATTTGAAATTCACATTCAATCCACTTTGAATTCTAATTTTTGTGAATAATCATGATAGTCTTTCCAAACCTAGGGAATGTAGTCGCTAATAATTATAATTAGCCATAACACTGCAAATGTTGGTGAAAAAAAACGTCCCATCACCGGGAACCTAAAACAGCCTAATGGAGCAGATTTTGTATAAATGTGTCTATGCGAACGCTTATGTAATTTATGTATGTGCACCTGTGTATAAGCTTGTGCATAATATATATCAGAAATGGTTGGCTAGCAGGTAGGTAAATGCAATTAAATGGGACACAGTAAGGTGGAGAGCAAAAAAAAAAGGAAATTAAAAAAAGCTTACATTACAACCATGCACTCTGTTAACAAACTAGCTTAGTGTGTGTCATTGAAGAGAAGCAACAGGTGTTGCAGACACAGTAAATCTGCTTTCAAAGGTAAGCTGTCTGTGTGCACTGTACCCAGTGTATCTTTTTTAGCTCTCCCCTGTTCATAATCAAATACACAAAGACACTGTTAATAAATAAACCATTGACGTCTTTGGCCAAAATTCTCATTCATACTAAAAAGCTGGCCTGTTTACTAACAGAGTTTACGCTGCAAGGCAGCTGCAGAACAGCTGCAGACTTTCATTTTGACCACCCAGACTATAATCTGTCTTCCGTTCCTTTATAAATTTGGGTTTTAGGAACTTCTTCATTAATCAGAAGATGAAAAAAGATTTTAGAGCTCAGTATTGAAAGTGCATTGAATGTCAGCTATTGTAGTGTATGCAGTATTCAAACGCTTGTTTGAGCAGAGTCCTTCTCACTTCTTGCCTAAATGGAATTGTCATCAATAACTGATTTAGTTTATTACTCATTGCACAGCACTGTGGGATGTTTTAGTGCTTTACTAATGATATAATAGGCTGGTATAGATGAAACCTGGAACAATGGCTAGTGAGAAAAATGCTGGATAGATATGTTCATATTAGCTATATGACAGAACATAGGAGACTCCCTGCACTGGACAAGATGACATATATTTTTACTTGGATGCCAATTTATCCCAGATTAAGCATTCAGCATTTAACACTGGCATCTATGAAATAAGCCAAGATTTAAAAAAAAAAAAAAAGTGAAATAGTACTTTAAATAATATCTACATTAATATCTACATAAATGATTTTACATTTTTTTAAAATTGTTTTTATTTATTTATTTTTATTTATTTATGGTGTCAATTCCAAAGAGATGTCAGTCCCACTTTTTTTTTTTTTGGTAATTCTTTAATTTTGTAGTGCTTTGCAAATTTCACAAATGAACATTGACATTGCAAAAGGTATCATCAGAAAATATCAACCAGTAGAGAGCATCACATGACTGATTCACAGCACATTGTTTTTTAGTTATAATATCTAGATGTGTATTCCTGCTTGTAAGATATAGAGTAGGGTAAAGGTTGGTAATTTGCTACACAGAATCCAATCATGTTGAGGGAAATTAATAAAACATGCTCACAAGGGGGGCGGGGCCTGACCGCCATGCTGTCCATACAGAGGCTCCTGCTGACTCTAACCTAAAACGGAAGAAATAATGGCCTCACCACAGACAACTGGGAGAAGAAAACCACTAATGTGCACGGGAACTGGCGGGCGCCGCAGCGGACTCCGAGATCGGGAGTTTCGGGGACCACGTGGCACGAGACTTCGGGGCCTGCGGCCTGCACAGGTGAACCGAGGGCAACCCTGCCGGCAAAACTAACCGCCGAGCCAAGACCCTGTGACGTGCCTCACAGGCCCCGCTCCCCCCCCTTGGACCGGGAGGGTTATCCCGGTCTCCACTGGCGGGAGCCGACCCTCCACAAACTCCCCAGCGAAACACGAGGTGCCGGAACAAGTGAGCCCTGCCTGCAAGATGGCGGCCTCAAAGTCCAACTACACTCTCCATCTCCGGGCAGCACTGCGAATGGAAGCATTCTCCCCTGACTCGGGACAACACTGGAGAGCACCCCCATCACACCTCACCCCAGGCTTGGATCTGGCCTCCACGACAGCCTTCCTGGGCCTTGAGCCCCTGAGGGCACTCCTCATACCAAAGCCCAACACCTAATTATAAAGGTTGCACCAGGCTGAACAAAAGAAAAATACTGGAAATATAGACTAATAAAGCATCATGGTAAACTAGTCATACATAGCGACATCCGAAATCGAGTTCTCACGATTAGAAGTTAGGCATGTCAGCTGTGAGAAAGAGTAATGGGCACTTCAGCCTATGCCCAGTACAGGAATGTTCTGTTTTCTGTCACTGTTGGCCCCTCTGATGGAGCCCTTTGGTTTGGACCCATCGCTAGCACTTGTCGGCCAGACGTTCTCCTGTTCAGCAACGCGGTGTTCATCTTTAACCCTTAGGTGCAGAGTTGTGCTTCGTTGATCAGAGGCTCCTTGGGGAAGGTATTGCTTAGATTAAGTTGTGCAAGCATGGTTATGTGGGTAGGCGTCGGCATACATTGGGGAACATCTGTGTTATTGCAGTTGTGAGTCTTATGTGAGTCCAACTTAGAGACAAGCATTAAAACCCTAATGCATGGTAGTGTACTCCACTGGGTTCTCTGTGGGCAAATCTCGGGTTCCACTCCACCACGCTACAGGATAAGACATGCTGTAGAGCTCGCTGGGTCCTCCTTGCCTGTGGCTCATTCATCTCCGACCCGATTGTAGTGTAAACGGAGGCCTGAGGCGAGGATGGGTCCAGTATGCACCATTCTGCCAGTCCCGGGCTCTGCATGAGCTGACCGCTCGTGCCCTCGGTTCGGGATGCAGATTGGGCCAGTAACTGGAGTCCTGGCTGATGTGTTTCACTCAGGCATAGGGCTGCAGTTCGAGGAACGTCCTCTAGGGGCTCAAGGCCCAGGAATGCTGTCATGGGGACCAGGCCCAGACCCTGGATATGATGGTCAGGTAAGCCAAGAGCAGTCCGATTAGTGTTGGAAGGCTCTATTGCTATAGTTCCGAGTGGTGAGGTGGAATGCCTCAGTTTGTAATTTTGCCTGCTAGCGTTGAGTGTGCTCGCGCCCTGCTTGGGCCTTGGGGCCGCCATTTTGTTGGCTTCACAAACGCACCCGATCGTCCTGCTTGCCTATTAGGAAGCATTTTGCTCAGCTTCAGATCATTCCAGTGGGGGCCAGGATAACCCCTCCGGCCCAAGGGTGGGGAACCGGGGTCTGGGAGGTGTGGCATCCAGGCTTGTGAGCAGGGCAGCTGCAGTCTGATCCGTGTCTTCCCAGACTAAGCCGCAGGCTCCGAAGTTTTGTACCGCCAGGGCCCCAAAGCTCCCAATCTTGGAGTCCACGGTGGCACTAACCATCTCCTGTGCACTTCTGCAAGCTATTCTGCCCAATTATCAGTGGTAAGCCCTAGATTTTTGCCAGTTAAGGGTCGATGTAGCAGGAGCCTCAGTTTCAGGCCCCGCTCCCCATTTTTTTACATTTTCGAAGTTGCAGATTCTTTCATTTTTAGTATAAATCAAAGTATACACAGATTCTGCATTTAAAGGTATACGCCAGACCCCTAAATTTCTTTAGCTTGCTGAGAAGCTTTATGTGTGACGAGTGTGTCCTCTTTTTTTCATTTTGCAAAAAATTGCAGATTTCAATAGAAATTGATACCATTATAAATTAAAATGGTTACATCCCCTTGGCTTTCAAGCAGACAACAGGCTCATTTACTTCCTGGTTTTGTTAGCTCAGTGGAGCTAAACTGAAGAGGCAGCAATTACTCAGAACACCTGCCTTGCAAAGATTTCTCATTGAGCTGCATTGGGAAGTCTGTGATTGGACAGCCACAGTCTGGCTGGGGAAGAAGGAGAGGGTTTGCAAAAGCAACAGACAAGAGAACTGCAGGTTTTGCAAGCTGTTTTTAAACAGACTTCTAGTAAAAAAAAATGCATAATTAAAAGCATACAAGTTTTCATTTGGGGTATATTTATTAAACAGTGATTTTAATATTTACATCTATGTATAAACCAGGTTTATAAAGTAAAATAGCTATTTAAAGCATCACTGTCACTGTCTGGGGACTTTGCAGAATTCGCAAAGATCCCTGATAGTGGCATTGTTGAAGTGAAAGTTAAAGGTGAGTTCTAAACCAAAAACAAAATCTCCTTTTGGATAAATCTCCTTTTTACAAAAAAGTGCTTATAGTGAAAACCGTATTTTGCAGCTCTATACACTCGTGTGCAATACCCTTTCCTCCACACACGATTATACAAAAAACAGCAAATGGTATACGGAAATCCTATACATTGAGTGGAGTGCTATGAAATTTTCTTTTCAATTTATGTTTTATTGGTTTTGTATGCACATGTATACATTTGGATCAATAACTGAGAATGAAATTAAATCAGGCAACATAAGTAACATTAGGAGCAACGCAATACAACATGACGTTTCCAGTCATCATCTGAGAATTTCACTATAGCATAAAGGTAACGAGAAAGTAAAGTATAAGGTATCATACAGGTTAATGTACCTCGTTGAGTTGGAGAGGAAGAAAAGCAGAAAATTTTGAGAAATTAGATATTAGAAAAAACTCTCAGGAGCACATGATGTCCATTAGCTAGGCTATCACTATCACTTTCTCGCTTTTATGGGTGTTTGGATTGTATCTTCAAGGTGCCCTCTCCTTGGTCCCCCTTAGTTGGTCTTCTGTTTTCTACATTAGGCGTCTTAACCAGGTCATCGCTGTGTAGTTGCAGGTCTTCCCAGAGTGTCTCTGGGTCTTGGTCCGACAATAGAGAAAGGGTCTTATCTCCGTGTGGGACCAGTAGGGCTCCATCTGTGCACCACCTGTACTGGACTGATCTGTTTCCCAGTAGCCTGACAACCGGAGCCAACTCGAGTGTTTCTGTGAGGACTGCGAAGGATATGTCTCCATACAATGTCACCTTCTCAAACGTGATGCTTCCCAGGGCTCTGGAGTGGGCCACGATCGCAGAGCAAACCACTATGTCCATGGTCACTTCTATTATGCCCCTTGGAGAGTTAGCTGTGGCTGTGGCCGCCTTCCGGATCCTGAATGTTGACAGCAACACAGGTGGGTCATCTCCCACTTTAATTCCCATAGTGGTGAATAGCCTCTGGATATAGAGCAGCAATGCTTCCCCACTGGCTTCTTCTGGAATGCCTCTCAGTAACGTCTTACTGGGCCTTAACGTACCCGAGAATAGTCAGAAAACTAGCCGAGGTCAGGGACACAGAACGATACACAGCGATAAGGAAAAGCCAGAAGTCAAGGGTACCAGAAATCAGGGAAGTCAAAACGAAGCCAAAGTCAGAAACCAGAAAAACACGATCAGGAACACACTCTCGGATAACCATCTAGGGGAAACCACGACAGGGCAATGAGGTAAGGGAATATGAGAGTTTATATAACCTTTTTGCAGATCCGATTGGCTGTACCTAGCCCTTGACCTCAAAATGTGTGTGTTTGTCTTTTGCGTGACGTCACCCACACGTCGATGTTGTCTTTACCGTGGGGCTATATAATTGCATGGATCCGCAGCAGCTGGCGTCCACTGACATGCCGCAAAAGCCAGGCATGATAGCAGAAGACCGCCGAACGGGACTCTCCACTATCTTCGGAAGGTAATTATCTCTGTTTTTGTCACATGGAGACGAAGAATATGTGACAGGAGCAGCCTCTTGATATCCCCCTTTGTTGAGGGTGTTGAGTCTTCATCAGACTCTGATTCCTGATCGGCTTCACTGTGGTCATGAGAAGCTGGGGATTCCCCCTTCTCTTATGATTGCTCCAAGTCCTCCGTTGCGGGTTGTGTCGCAGGCCCCATCTTGGGATTTTCTTTCAGAGCAGGCCTCTCGAAGTAATGTCTAATATCGGGGAGATTAGGGCTCTCAGATACTCGGAATCTCTTATTTCTGCGGTCCATGTTATCAGCTGGTTGGGGCAAAAGATTAGTCATTCTCCTGTGAGGTATTGCCAGGGATAAAACTTTTGTTGCTCGTTTCAGGTGCGAAGCTTTACAGGAACGCCTCAGTTTAGTCTGATAGTCAGCCATCCCCCCTCCCCCGCACCGAGCGATATGGCTTTTTGTGGGGTACCTTGCCCCTAGAGATCTTGATCGGACCGTGCACGTCAAATATATGTAAAAAATACAAAAAATAAAATATGGTGTAGATTGTAATATACTGTGACAATTAAATTATATGGCAGAATGGGTCACTCACATTTCAAATGGGTCTAGTGAAACAAAGGTTGAACTCTTTGCCTTGATTCAAAACAGCCTGTCTTGGAGGAAATCAGGCACCACTCATCACCTGTGCAATTCCATCCAAGCAGTGAATCATGGTAAATGAGGATGCTTTAAACAAGGGGGATTGGGAGATTGGTCAGGTTTAAGGGAAAGCTGAACACAGCAAAATACTAGGTATATTTAAAGGACCACTCTAGGCACCCAGACCACTTCAGCTTAATGAAGTGGTCTGGGTGCCAGGTCCCTCTAGGATTAACCCATTTTTTTATAAACATAGCAGTTTCAAAGAAACTGCTATGTTTACAAATGGGTTAATCCTTCCTCCAATTCCTCTAGCGGCTGTCTCATTGACAGCCGCTAGAGGCGCTTGCGTGATTCTCACTGAGAAAATCACAGTGAGAGCATGCAAGCGTCCATAGGAAAGAATTATGAATGCTTTCCTATGCGACCGGCTGAATGCGCGCGCAGCTCTTGCCGCGCGTGCGCATTCAGCCGAATGGGAGGAACGGAGGAGGATCGGAGGAGTAGAGCTCCCCATCCAGCGCTGGAAAAAGGTAAGTTTTAACCCCTTTCCTCTCCCCAGAGCTGGGCGGGAGGGAGTCCCTGAGGGTGGGGGCACCCTCAGGGCACTATAGTGCCAGGAAAACGAGTATGATTTCCTGGCACTATAGTGGTCCTTTAATGAAAAAGCTTGCCCAGATAATTTAGGACCTCAAACTGGGCTGAAGGGTAACCTTGCAATGGGTCAATCAATCACCTGAAGCACACAGCCAAGAGTGTCTTAGGGACAATTCTGTGAATGAACATAATCAAACATCTCTGGAGGGCCCTCCAAATGGCTGTCCACCTATGGTGGTTCCTTTCAACCTGACAGCAATTTAGAGGATTGGCAGAGATAAATGGCAGAAACTACTCGGAACCAGGTGTGCAAAATTTGTCACATCATACCCAAAAATACTTGAGACTGCAATCGCTGCCAAGGTGCTTCAACTAAGTTTTGAGTTATGGGTCTGAATACTTATGTCAATGTGTTATTTCAAGTTTTTTTTTATGTTTAATATATTTGCAACGGTGTCAAAAAATATATATTTTTTTTGCTTTGTTATTATATGGTATTGAGTGTAGATTGATATAAAAAACTAATAATTTAAACTACTTTAACACAAGACTGCAACATAAAAAAATAAATAAATTAAATGACACACTTATTCCCTGTATGGAATTTTATAATCCCAGCCTGAGTTTTCAGTTTCAGTTCCACTTTACATAAATTAATATTAGCTCTCTGGACCCACCAAAAGTGCCGAATTACATAATATTCACCATGGTGCACATGCTTCAGTGAAAACACTAAGTCATTCACCTGTGATAAAGCATAAATATAATTCAGTTTCTGACCTGCTAGCATGCCTTGAGAACAGGTTAGAACACTGAGTTGGGGCTGCGGCATACAATGTTCTTCAAAAAGTTATTTATGAAGCAGTTGTACATTCAAATAACTACGTTACCTCCCTATATAAATTGAGTTGTCAATCTGCCTCACATATAGCTGTATATAAAGATTCACAGACATATAAATATGTATGCATACATCTATATATACATTCCTTTTATGTGACTAATAATATTTTTAATGATTAGGATGAATATATATTTTTTTAAATGAGAGAAAAAGTAACAAAGTCACAATTATTTCCAAAGAAATGCTGCTACAAGTTCTATATTTTGAAAGTATTACTAACTTACTTTTTAGACTGAGATTTTCCAAGATGTTCACTGCTACGTTTCCTCTTTTCGCTGAGGCATTTCTCTAAGGCAAGCAGTTAATTTTCCATTTCTCCTCCCTCAAGTAAAAGTAAAAAAAAAAAAAGTGCTGGTAAAAATAACAGTGAGGACAAACCACCTTTTGAGAAATTCACATTTCACAACCACATTTCAGAAATGATTTTCACAGGGCAGTATGTGTGTCCCTCCCCAAATAAATGGCTTTGTTAGGGGCAGGGTTAATATTAAAGAGAAACTGTCACATTTAGTATTTTACTAAATAATGTTAAAGGAATGCTATAAACAACTTATGTTCCTTGTATACGTTATGGTACTAGGAGATCCACAGTCTTGTCATCTCCCAGCACACAGTTACTTTATCCACAACAATGCAAAAATTGCTGCAGGTCTAAGTCCTCCCTATTTCTGTGTCTAATGTTCGGGAGCAGAACAATATTTCCTCCTCTTCCAATCCAAATAATTGTACAATATTCACATGCATCATATTTACACTATACAAATCCCAGCCTCCTCTGACAGACTCCTTCACAGCTTATGTTAAAGCAGCCTATAGTCACATGCATATCTCCTGACAGTTTCCTTCATCTAAGGATATCTTCCTTCATCTACTTAGCTATCACTAAGTATGTAATAGGAAAATCATTGTTCGCAGGTACTTAAAGGAACATTGTAGGCACTATAACCACTACTGGGATCTGTAGTGTTTATGGTGCCAGGAGTGCCTTACCTCTCACTCACATGTAAATACACTGCTCAAAAAAATAAAGAGAACACAAAAATAACACATACTAGATCTGAATGCATTAAATATTCCTCTGAAATACTTTGTTCTTTACATAGCTGAATGTGCTGACAACAAAATCACACAACAATTTAAAAATGGAAATCAAATTTTTTAACCGATGGAGGTCTGGATTTGGAGTCACACTCAAAATTAAAGTGGAAAACACAGGCTGATCCAACTTTGATGTAATGTCCTTAAAACAAGTCAAAATGAGGCTCAGTAGTGTGTGTGGCCTCCACGTGCCTGTATGACCTCCCTACAATGCCTATGCATGCTCCTGATGAGGTGGCGGATGGTCTCCTGAGGGATCTCCTCCCAGACCTGGACTAAAGCATCTGCCAACTCCTGGACAGTCTGTGGTGCAACATGACGTTGGTGGATGGAGCGAGACATGATGTCCCAGATGTGCTCAATTGGATTAAGGTCTGGGGAACGGGCGGGCCAGTCCATAGCATCAATGCCTTCTTCTTGCAGGAACTGCTGACACACTACAGCCACATGAGGTCTAGCATTAGGAGGAACCCAGGGCCAACCGCACCAGCATATGGTCTCACAAGGGGTCTGAGGATCTCATCTCGGTACCTAATGGCAGTCAGGCTACCTCTGGCGAGCACATGGAGGGCTGTGCGGCCCCCCAAAGAAATGCCACCCCACACCATTACTGACCCACTGCCACACCGGTCATGCTGGAGGATGTTGCAGGCAGCAGAACGTTCTCCACGGCGTCTCCAGACTCTGTCACGTCTGTCACATGTGCTCAGTGTGAACCTGCTTTCATCTGTGAGGAGCACAGGGCACCAGTGGCGAATTTGACAATCTTGGTGTTCTCTGGAAATGCCAAACGTCCTGCACGGTGTTGGGCTGTAAGCACAACCCCCACCTGTGGACGTCGGGCCCTCATACCACCCTCATGGAGTCTGTTTCTGACCGTCTGAGCAGACACATGCAGATTTGTGGCCTGCTGGAGGTCATTTTGCAGTGTTCCTCTTGTTCCTCCTTGCACAAAGGCGGAGGTAGCGGTCCTGCTGCTGGGTTGTTGCCCTCCTACGGCCTCCTCCACGTCTCCTGATGTACTGGCCTTTCTCCTGGTAGTGCCTCCATGCTATGGACACTATGCTGACAGATACAGCAAACCTTCTTGCCACAGCTCACATTGATGTGCCAACCTGGATGAGCTGCACTACCGGAGCCACTTGAGTGGGTTGTAGTCTCCGTCTCATGCTACCACTAGAGTGAAAGCACCGCCAGCATTCAAAAGTGACCAAAACATCAGCCAGGAAGCATAGGAACTGAGAAGTGGTCTGTGGTCACCACCTGCAGAACCACTCATTTATTGGCTTGCTAATTGCCTATAATTTCCACCTGTTGTCTATCCCATTTGCACAACAGCATGTGAAATTGATTGTCACTCAGTGTTGCTTCCTAAGTGGACAGTTTGATTTCAGAAGTGTGATTGACTTGGAGTTACATTGTGTTGTTTAAGTGTTCCCTTTATTTTTTTGAGCAGTGTAGTCAAACTATTGCTAACACTTTAAAAACGTAGCTGGAGTCTGCCTTGTGCCAGTCACTTCCTCAACAAGAGCCAAAAGCTTTTTAGGCTATGCTAATTGGCTAAAAGAGAGATCAGCTGATGCTCACAACCAGTAAGCTGGCCCTACGCCTGTTTAGATCAGGAGCAGGGCCGACGCGTCCATAAGTCGGCACAAGCGGCCGCCTTATGGCGCGGCGGCCCGGGGGGGGCCCTAGATTCGAGTGACCGGCAGGAGGTGGGAACACAGAGCTCCCTCCTGCCAGTCACTCAGTGTAGAGTGGCCGAGCGGAGCACGGTACAGAAGGATCTGTTTTCTGTACCCGGCCTAACTGACAGGAAGTGCTCACTGAGAGAGCACTTCCTGTCAGTCTGGGCCGGGTACAGGAAACTGAAGCTCCTGTACCGCGGCCCGTTCCACTCGGCCACGCTACAAGAAAGGTAGGGGAGGAGAGGTAGGGGAGGGGAGGTAGCGACCAAGAGGGGGAGAGAGAGGGGCACTAAGGGATGGGGGGGAGGAGCACTAAGGGACAGGGAAGGGGGCCAACCACTAAATGAGAGGGAGGGAAGAGGAACACTAGGGGGGAGAGAGGAAAATTAAGGGGGAGCACAGGGGAGGGAAGGGAAAAGGAACACTGGGTAGGGGGAACCACTAAAAGAGTCTCTCACTAAGGGGGGGATGGGAGGAACATTAAGGGGAATGGGGAGGCACTAAAAGACAGGTAAGGTGGGGGAGGAACACTAAGGGACAGTGGAGGGAAGGGAAAAAGAACACTGAGGGGGAGGGGAGAAGGACACTAAGAGAGGGTCAGGGCCAGACTGGGAACTAAAAGCAGCCCTGGAAAAAAATTCTATACCAGCCCAATAATGCGTTGTGCCAGCATAGTGTGCAGATATAGAGGGTGAAAAAATAATTTAAAATTGAAAACTATTACTCCAACGAAAGAACGCATATAGGGCTTCAAAATAAACAAAAGGGCGCCTTTATTTTAAGTAGAGGTACATTTGCATGTAATCAATGTTTCAGTACAACTACTTTGGCCTATTAAGGACATTTTAGTAATGGTACTGAAATGATGAATGTCTGCAGTTGCACAACTGAAAAAAAAAAAGAGTTATCTTGTTCATTTTGAAGTCCTATGGGTGCACTCTTCACTTTGAATGTGTTATTGTGCATGAGTATGCAACTAGCAACAAGACTGGGCCAATACGTGCTCATTACATACATGTATATATTAATTACATTTATGTGTGTATTATGCATATATAAATGTATATTAATATATGTGTAAATATTATAGGCATAATTATATATGTTACTAATACACACATCGATATACATGCATATATATGTATTATTGTCAGGATCACATCAATTACATCTATTACGTTTACCTCATTTAGTGTATCTTGTCTCCAATTGTCTCCTTTTTGTCCCTTACAGCGACCCTTGTGTATCTTTTACTTCATCCCAGCCCCTGTGTATTTCTTTTTACCCTTCTCCAGCCTCTGTATGTCTCTTTCCCCCAGCCCCTTTAGTGTATGTCTTAGCCCCAGCCCCTTTGTCTCTTTTTCCCCTTCCAAATCTCATCTGTGTGTCTCTTTCTAGCTCCAGACTCTGTGTGCCTCTTTCTCTTCTCCCAGCCACTCTGTGTCTCTTTTCCCCCCAGCCCAGCGTTGCCTATCACTTTGTTCCCCTTCCCTTCTGTATGTCTCTTTGTCCCCCCAACAAACCTTCTGTGTGTCTCTTTCTCCCCTCTCCTCCCTGTGTCTCTCTTCCCCCTCTCCTCCCTGCGTCTCTCTTCTCCATCTCCTCCCTGTGTCTCTCTCTTACCACTCTGTCTCTTTGTCCCCCTTCCCCTGTGTCTCTCTATTACCCCATCTGTCTCTGTGTCCCCCCTCCCCCTGTGTCTCTCTATTACCCCTCTCTTTTTTTCCCCTACCCCTGTGTCTCTCTATTGCCCCTCTCTTTGTCCCCCCCATCCCTTGTGTCTCTCTATTACCCCTCTATTTGTCCCCCCCTTCCCCTGTGTTTCTATTACCCCTGTGTCCCTGCTGACCTTGTCACAGGAGGACTGAGGGAGGGGGCAGAGTTAACTACCATGCTCCCTAGCGGTTCCCATAATTCCCAGAATGGACACATAATAGAGTAATCACTACTTTATGATGTGGCTGTGCTGGGAATTGTGAGAACTGTGAAGGAGCATGGTAGTTAGCTCTGCACCCTCCCTCAGTCCTCCTGAGCTGACAACTGTACTGCTGTCAGTATCAGTGAATGTGCCACCAGACCGGTTATGTGGCCGCCTGGCACACTCACTGATACTGACAGCAGTCATACAGTACATGAGATGCGGCCGCCGGCCGCAAGGTAAGTAACCCCCTCAGAGTGTGCCGCCAGACCTGCCACCCGGCGGCACCGACATGCAGCCGGTGGCCGTGATATTATTAAAAATGGCTGCAGGGCTCCCTCTCTATAGGGAGTTAGAGTTCTGCAGCCCCAAGGTGCCGCGGGCCACCGTGAAATTTCCCGGTATCCTGGTGGGCCAGTACGGCCCTGGAGAGGGTGGGCAGCTAAGGGGGGGAGAGGAACACTAAGGGTCAGGGAAGGGAGGGGAGAGGAACATTAAAGGACAGGGAAGGGAGGGATGAGGAACACTAAGGGACAGGGGAGGGAGGAGATAAGGAACACTAAGGGACAGGGAAGGGAGGGGAGAGGAACACTAAGGCACATGGAGAAGAGAGTGGCACACAGGGGGGCCTGAGTGGGGAGAAAGACACACAGAGGGACATGAAGGGGGAGAAAGACACACAGATGGACCTGGGGTGAGAAAGATGCACAGAGGGGCTGGGAATGACGCTTTAGCAAAATTAAGGCTGACCTTTGAATAGATAAAAATGAACAATGGTCAATCTATTGTTGCAGTGGTCTATAAGCGTATGCTCATTTGTTATTGAACTAGAATTCCTATGATTTATTGGAAGCATTAAGACTAACAGAGCATCATAGGAGTTGTAGACTAAGCATACATTGAAATAGGTCAAGGGTAGGCAACCTTTGGCATTTCAAATATTATGGACTGCATCTCTCATAATGATCTTGCACCAAAAAATGGTACCTACCAAAAAGGATACATCTAATCATGATGTGCATGCACGCCAAGCTGGCCAAAATCAGAACTGTGCATGGCAGTGTGCTGTTGAAGTGCTCTCCAATGGGCTCAGTATCATGAGTGTAGCTCAGAAAGTGTGATGCAAGACAGAAGTGAGACACCAGAGGCCAAAATTGGTTGGAGGAACAGGAAGCTAAAACTGAAACATAGAAACATAGAATATGACGGCAGATAAGAACCATTCGGCCCATCTAGTCTGCCCAATTTTTTTTTTAAATACTTTCATTAGTCCCTGGCCTTATCTTATAGTTAGGATAGCCTTATGCCTATCCCACGCATGCTTAAACTCCTTTACTGTGTTAACCTCTACCACTTCAGCTGGAAGCCTATTCCATGCATCCACTACCCTCTCAGTAAAGTAATACTTCCTGATATTATTTTTAAACCTTTGTCCCTCTAATTTAAGACTATGTCCTCTTGTTGTGGTAGTTTTTCTTCTTTTAAATATAGTCTCCTCCTTTACTGTGTTGATTCCCTTTATGTATTTAAATGTTTCTATCATATCCCCCCTGTCTCGTCTTTCCTCCAAGCTATATATGTTAACTTCTTTTAACCTTTCCTTGTAAGTTTTATGCTGCAATCCATGAACCAGTTTAGTAGCCCCTCTGAATTCTCTCTAAAGTATCAATATCCTTCTGGAGATACGGTCTCCAGTACTGCGTACAATACTCCAAGTGAGGTCTCACCAGTGTTCTGTACAATGGCATGAGCACTTCCCTCTTTCTACTGCTAATACCTCTCCCTATACAACCAAGCATTCTGCTAGCATTTCCTGCTGCTCTATTACATTGTCTGCCTACCTTTAAGTCATCAGAAATAATCACCCCTAAATCCCTTTCCTCAGATGTTGAGGTTAGGACTCTATCAAATATTCTGTACTCTGCCCTTGGGTTTTTACGTCCAAGATGCATTATCTTGCACTTATCCACATTAAATGTCAGTTGCCACAATTCTGACCATTTTTCTAGTTTACCTAAATCATTTGCCATTTGGCTTATCCCTCCTGGAACATCAACCCTGTTACATATCTTAGTATCATCAGCAAAAAGACATACCTTACCATCAAGACCTTCTGCAATATCACTAATAAAAACATTAACGAGAATGGGTCCAAGTACAGATCCCTGAGGTACCCCACTGGTGACAAGCCCATGCAACTGGAATTGTATTGTCATATATGGAACAGACACATAAAATAATCTGCATACATGCAGGTTCTACACATGTGATATACAATTACATACATCCCAAAATTGTGAGATATAAAAACCGGGACATACTGAGTGGGTTTAAAGGGATGTGCCAGTGGCACCACTTGCATCACTGGTAATCAAAATGGGTAGAGCCATCTGGAATTATTGGGGTGACAGACACCCAAAGTTCAACACAAGCGCATTTAACCCCTTAAGGACCAAACTTCTGGAATAAAAGGGAATCATGACATGTCACACGTCATGTGTCCTTAAGGGGTTAAATATGTGCTTGTGCTGGCTGGGGTCATTTACCTGGTACTCCTAGTTGTGAGACACCATGGAACAAAATGGGGATGGCAGGACTGGACCCTAATATTGGGACAGTTGGGGAGCATGCAATATCTGTACAATATTTTTTGCATATCCCATTATATTCCAACAGAAAAGACTCACAATAAATATTGGCAATTATTATTTCTTTTTTGCTATTCAGCTCTTTATAGTATTTTATTATGTTGACTGGTTTATAGGTGAAATGAGCCCTATACCTCTATGTGTGAGCTGTCTCTGGCATCACTAATTTAGTAATACCCTATACTAAGCTTTAGATCTGCTGTAACCAAATAATTTATGTAACTAAGGGATTCAGATGAATCACACTAGAGGAAGATTTAATTTATTTACCAGTATTTTTTTATTTTATGTATGCCTGTTAGAGCATCCTAATATACTGCTGCTGTTGTGCCCCATGTCACTCAATCTTGACATGAGCTGGTGGCTGAAGATTCCCGGGCGCTGCTTCGGTGACGTCAAATAGAAGCGCCCGCAGAGAAGCAGCATGAGATCAATCTGGGGGAAAGAAGGTACCTGGTGTGTTTGTTTTCTAACGCTGTGTGCTGGGTCCGTACTGTATACAAAACAAAATTCACAATTTGTGTCTAATAGTTCAGGCAAGGAACAAGATATAACCGGAAACATTCTCTGTGTGTGCCATACATATATTTATCACATGAATGACTGTGGTGTTTTCTTAGCCTATCCCCCTGTTTGGTCATTTGTGACAGGCTATAGGAGTTATTAAATATCTATCAATACAAGTCACAAAAAATATGCAGTTATTGTGTATGTGGTTAAATGTTACAATAATTTCGTTTCTACAGTAAATAAATTATGTATATTTTGCTGTTCGCTTGCATAATCAGACTTTTACCCCAATAGCTATGTATTTAAATTGGTGTTTTAAGAGTCAAATACTGCTTTTATTTGAGACTAGTGGAATTAGAGAGTCAGTCATCCACAGTCTCAGGGACACTAAAGAGCTAGAAGCTCTTTTGTCTCTGTTTCCCTGGCTTCAGAATAATTTCTGCAGCCTATAAGCCTGCCCCCATGCTATGTGATAACAAGGAGAATTAGATGTATGCTTTTTTTTTTCTAATCTAAAACTCCTCTTAAATGTAGAACTACTACTATGGGATTTAAGCAATCCTCCCACCAAAATCATTTTGGAAGACCAGAACTGACAGGGAAAATGTACTCATTTATCTATTGATTGCATGTTACTTGCAAAGTGTCGTTTTTGTCCATCTGGAATATTGGGAAAATGAATATGTTTTTATAGCATTTATCCCTTTCTATGAAAGGGAAGAAAGATAGCACTACCTCATATATGACTGACATATTACATATTTCTGCAGGTGCTTGAGAAAGGCTCCTGTCTAGCCAATACTTTGTGTGTGTGCTTTCTGCTATGCACTAAATAAAATGACATTACATTGTTGGATCGTTCTTTTTTTAAATTCTTTTGAATTTATTACTGTTTTGGCGGAGGTTTATACAACACTCCACTTTAGTAAGCGCTCCTCCATTTAGTGTTGTGCGTAAATATTCCTGCAGCACCAGTCTCTTAGGTAAATAAGATTATTTCAGCCGGAGCAGGAATGATGTTGCCATAATTGAAGATTAAACAAATTAGTTTCATTTTGAAGTTTGGGGCTCTCAAATTCGCAATTATTTCTTCTATACCTGTGCTTTTCAAGTATGTTCTACTTTGATTATCTGACCGTGATAGTTGACTCCATTAAAGTACAAGACTTAATCCAAAGTAATATGTATTTTTGTTAATAATTGTAAAAGTATATAGAAATATCACTGATTAATACTGTGATTTTAATTGTTTTGTTTTCTTGTTTCAATATAGGCATTGAAGTTAATTTCCCCTTACGAGATTTTGATCTTTATTTGGGAGATGTGGCGCATGAGCAAACTTGGTTATAAATCAGTACCCAAGTTGGAAGAACTGAAAAAACAGTGGAGAGAGCAGGAGACTGGTGGGGTGAAATGTTTGCTGTTTTTGTTTAGTGGGGCATAACACTATGGACTTTAAAACGTTTTATTACATTTGTATGAGGTTTGTAGAGCAGGTTGGCTTTGTTTCAGAAAAATAAATATGAATACATGTAGTAACAACACTTACCTCCCCACTAATTCCATGCAGCTTTTTTAATTTAGCACTGATCTAAACCTTTCTTCTGGTTCCTGCTTTATGTGAACAGATTTCAGTATCATGATGTGACCCACAGATTATTTAAAATAATTAATTAGGAAAAGAAAGGACCTGACACAGACTTTGTGTCTGTATCAACGTGTTCTGCAATGCCTGCATTTTTACACAAACTCTATACTGGAGGTCAGAGCTCAAAATGTCAAGTTTGACTCCTGTGCCAGTAGACAGGTATAAAATTTACACAGCACACTCACCAGGGGTGATTTTCTGCTTACCAGGGCTACATTTCTCCATACCAGTGTCTAGTGGACGAGTGGAAATTCCAAGCCCTGCTGTAGGTAACATTATTGACTGTTGTGCTTACATTTTAAGAGTCTGCATACTCCAAACACCGCAGTTGGTAATACCATTGAGGAAAGAATTGGCACACATTTTATTTCTCCCATTAGACCTACTGTAATTTCTAAAATTAATATTTAACCTTCTTTAGTAATTGTTCTAAATTTGTCGGAAATGGTCTGCAATACAAAAGATGCATAATGGTTTCTAATCACATCCCCCAACCAATGCCTCTGCCTTTCAAATAACATGATTTTGGCCTGTCCTGTCATTTTAACTAGTCCTAAATTTGCTAAAGAAAGGACATCTGTCTTCTGTCTAGTCAGAATTATTTTGATTTACTGTTTGGTGGCATCACAAGCTCATCAGAATGAACATTGACCATAATGAGCTTTTGGTTAAGGAAGATCCACACATGTAAAAGCTTTTATTTATTACTCTAAGATAACATCCTCTTGACTATATTTTTTTGGATAAAATAGGTTCTTACATTTCTAGAGCCTTCTCTTGTAAATAATTTGTTAACTATATAATATTAATATATCTGCACACAGAACTTCGAAAGGCACGAAAAGCGCAGCATCTGCTCGGCAAACGACTGTTGTTGGATATTTCAGCTTCTGATGAGCCCCTTGATGATCTGGAGTCCTATGCTCTTTCTGAACAGCAGGTTAGTTTGCCCGGCAATGTTCCAATTACAAACCGTATTTAATCAGATTTACATTTTTCTATTAATGTTTGATGATGGTAACTTTCTTTTTTTTTTTTATACATTTATTTGCGTTAAAGTAACAGTCATTATTATAATTTTTGTCTTTATCTTAGCTGCATTTGACAAATTAACCTTAACATGAAATTATTCAAGTAGGGTGCCAGACCACATAGCACAAATTATTTAATACGAGAGCACCTTGTTTGCTTTGTTTTTTTTTTTGTTGTTGTTTGTTTGCTTGTTTGTTTTACAGACTGTTTTACTATAAAATATTCAGGTCTGATCATTTCAGCCAGTGAGACCATCCAAAAAAGCATTAATGTGCATCTTATTGTTAATGCAGGTACTGTGTATTCCACTAAATACCTGATGGCTTTGGGAAGAACGCAGACTTTTTGATGAAAAATTGTGAGCTGTTCTTTCAGGTCACATTGGTGTCACTGTATGTGTCCCCTTTTATTAGAAGCTCTAAAGAGGATTTGTCACTTCCACAAAGAGAACTTCCAGTTCCTCATTCTTTCTCCCCAGTAAATTCCATACTCACTGATACTGATGCCATCTGTTTTGTGGTCGTGACACGTGAAAAGATTATGCAAAAGCATTGACATTTGTCAAATACCGAAAATGTGTTTGTGTAGAAAGTAAAATTGTAACAGTTCTGGCATGTCATTCGTCCTGACGGTATTAAGATATGTCCTGTTATTCCAGCAAAAAAAAAATTAATTACAGAAATATTAGTTTACAAACACGTTAAACCCATATCAGGTTAACATTTAGACAATTACATTATTTGCAAACTTATATAACATACTTGGGGAGTTACAAAATTTCTGTATTTTCTTAGGTTACACAGATCATCAAGGTTCTGAAACATGGATCAGCAGAGAAGCTTGAATCTCTTATTTCTCTCCGATGTTCTCTTCAGAGAGAGGACGTGCGCCTTATGTTTGTCAAGTTAGTACATTATTGTTTTTATTACTATTACATCATGTCACTAACCAATCCAATATCCACTTGGTAGGCGTCTGTTAAGGTTACTAAATGTACAAACTGTTGTCTAAGGAGTAGGTGGACTGAATGTGGAAGATATTGCATTTTGCAGAACTTTAACAGACCTATGTGGTTTTGTCTGGATGCTAGATTAGAAATCTTCCTTATCTATATGACTGAGATAAATTTATTACTTTTTGATGGGGCAATACTGTACCTAAATCTTAATGTGTCCACTCCTGTGCTGTGGCACTTACAAAAAAAAAAAATAATTTTAAATAGTTCTTCTAAAATGGCAGGTTTAATAAAATGTTAAACATAAGATGATGCTGTTGTATTCTACACAGCACTGCATCCTAGCATTGGTCACAAGGGTGTTCTTTCTAACGGGTAGTTAAGGTTTTGCATATTTCATGGTGTTATTAAGATTGGGTTGCTATGTAGCAAAATTAATATAATGCATAGCCTATTGTAAATAACGATATAGAGAGGAATTACACCACACTCAAAGGGAAACATAAATAAATTTACGTTAATGAAGCAGTTTTGGTGTACTCTCACTGCTTAATTTTCTTCCATCTAGGATTTAAATCACTTTTGTTTCTATTTTTGCAACTTTAGCCACACCTCCCCTGGCTGCGACTCACACAGCCTCCATGTTAAAAATTGGTTTCATTTTTTTTCAATCAGATCTTACACCATTATGTGTTTACTGTATAGGTTCTTATCTCCTGCTTCTGTGGCTAATGGGAGTGGTAGAGCAACCCACAAAGTTTCTCATATCTTTTTATTTGCTGAGACATAAAGCATTAAAGTGAATGGGGAATGACACAATGTGAAAATAAGAGACACAAAAAAGGAGGGGTTAAAAGAGATATAAAAAGAAGAAACCGTTAAACACAAAGGCTGCAAAGGGGATTTAAGCGACAAACAAAGTTTGTCAGGAAATGCACAGAGGAGGGTGTGCAAAGAAACACGAAATGAGATGAAACAACGCAAAAAATTAATGGTGCCAAATAACCTAGGTATGGGGCGGAGCCTGACCTTCAAGCTGTCTACACGTGTTGGCTTGAGCTCCTGCATACTTGGCTAAAAAATTTAGTTTTATTTCTTTACCAGCTTTACTGCTACCTCGCTCCATCCTCTGCCAATCTTGGGTCAGAGAATATCAGGCAAGATATGACACCTTTCCCAAGTGATTACACTGCCGGGAGCCAGAGAAATCTAGTTGTTGCCTGCCAGGAGTGGAGACGGGGAGAGGCGGCTAATCTCCTTGCCCTCAAGTTCGCATGCAGCTTCCCGTCCCCCTACTCTCTGGGACCGGTGGGGAATACTCCAGTCCACTCTAGCAAGGGATAAGTTGTCAGTGCTGTGGAGGAATTTTAAATAATACTCACCCTGAGCATGACCAGGTCTGTCAAGTTGGCGGACGCAGCGGTACCTGTGGCATGAGGCCCGATCTCTTGCAGACTCAACTGACCTCTTATGCCACATCTTACCTAAACTGGAGGCAATCTTTGCCCAATTCTGGGCTACCCTGAAAGAGAAGATGAAACTGGCTTACCGGGTCACGGTCCAGGTAGGGGACAAAGGGAGGTACTGCAGAGGGAGTCTTGAGGGACCCCTAGCACACCAATAAACAAACAACTGTCCCTACATTCATATTTCTATTTCCAAATGCTAGCAGTGCATGTCTGCTACTTCCCAGGCTTTGCGCAACTAAAAAGCAAAACTCCCTGAATGTCTTGACAATCTTGTTTCTGTTCCAAATCTAAAAGTCAAGCTTCCACACTCAAATAAAAATCTTTAATTCCCGTATTATTCTTAGTACTGGCATACTATGATCTAAGGGCTAATTATGAGAATATATTTTTCATTACTACAGGAAAACAAAAGGTAGTCCCTGATATACTGCTGTCTATCTGGTGGTCCAAAAGAAGTTTTATGGACCATTAGTGGAGTGACTGATAACATTCTAGCTTTCTATCCTTCATTGTTTTTTTTTTTGTTTTGTTTTTTTTCTGTATGACTTCATCTGGGTGGACATCCATGACATGAGTCAAAATGTTGTGGCTTGAGCAAGATGGCAATAAAACATAATGTTATTATGAAAACCCCTTTTCGTAAACCAGATGAAATCACACATCTGGCAGGCCTCACTTCTCAACGTGAAACAAGAACTTAAAAAACCAGAATAACCAAAAGTAATACACTTCGGTCAGTACAAAACAAGTTAACTAGGAACCGGTAAACTTCATATTACAATTGCGTAATGCTGAAACATTTATTTTTCTAATTTCCAAACAGGTTAAATAACGAGAAACATTTATTGCTAAAGTGGATATAGCTCTAAATGTACTTAGCTGATCTTCTAAAGCTGAGACCTTAACTATTTCTATACAATCTATAGCATAAATGTATAAAACACATGTTTTTGTGCAGCCTCGTTTACTAAAGGAGAGTTGGTGTCAAACCTTTCAGGGACACAGGCCCTTTCCCAGTAAACCTTCCCACCTGTCATAAAGCATGATGTCTCACCCCGGCTTTATTTTCTAGTACATCTGATATAATGGAATTGATGTTTAATGTTGTTTCTTCTAACCTTGTCATTTTTTTTTATTAATTGTCCAAGCATACAGCTTTTTCCATGCCCAAAACAGTATGTCGCGTAATGTGTTACAGGATGCCCACCTAAATGCCTTACTGTCTAAATGTTTTTGTTTTTTTTTCACATTACACCGTTTACTCCGTGTATTTGAAAGCTCATTCATGTTCTGTTTTATTCTTCCAGGGCTGAAGGCAGCATCCAACTTCTGATAGGACTATTCACCTGCTCGTTTGCCGATGTCCAGCTAGAAGCAGCTCGGTGCTTACATGAACTCTCTCAGTCAGATAATTCATCCGTTTCCCAGTCATGTCTGCCAGCAACATCATACCTCCTCACTTACTTATCAGGGAATAGCCCCGAGTTTACAGTAAGCTTTTATCATTGCTATGTTATTTCCCTCCATTTATACAAAACCATGTGGGTGCCATCTATTGGCTTTTATTTAGAGGTGTGTAAACGTGAGAATAGTATAGTAAAGATATCAGAGCGTGATGCTTGAAAATAGTAATATTTCATGGGCAGATTATGTTCTAAGCAGGATTTCACAGATATCCAGGGATGATGCCTAACCTTACGTGATCCCACACACAATAAAGAAAAAAAAAATATATAAAAAAAAAAAAGAAAATGCTGCTATTGATAGATGATCATTTTTGTGTGTCTGTCTATACAAATATGACACTTAGAAATCAAAATCTAATTCTAATCTGTGGCAATGATATGATTTCTCAGTTTCTAAATTGTTCTGTGTCCTGATGCTCACATTAACCCTATTTTCCATTCATCACCTTCCTAACAGTAAACCGTATTAACCTGCATTAGTCATAAACCGCATACATGCCGGACTTCTACAGCTTGTCTGATATCACATCAACCAGTAATGACATTCATAAACAATCTGCCACTTTTCTGTCTTGGAATAGCTGTATGTATGGTGCATTTAATAGTGGTAATCATTCTGTACATGTGTGCAGGTGACTTGAAGCCAAGGCAAAGTGCAAGTAAAGGTGTCAACCACAGTGGTCCTTTGACATATACATGAAATAAAATTCTATCCCTCTATAGGAAATGTGCTTATATGTTTTGGGAAACCTGATAGTGGAAGGTGAGGCAACAAGGAACCAGCTCCTTCTTCAAGGTATCATCCCTGCTTTAGCGCTGTGTACTCAGGTATGACTCTAAGTACCCTGTATCTTGTGTTTTCCAATGCATGCTGTATGACATACACCCAGTTAAACCATTATTAACATCTCTCTTCTATGTCAGTCTCCTCAGGTGAGCGTATTAGAAGCCGTGGGCTACACACTGTCTCAGCTGCTAGCATCAAAAGAAGCTCCTGAAAAGATCATTCCGTAAGTAAGAATACTATATTTAAAGAATTCCTTTATCTGTTGCAAGGCAGGAATACTGTTTAGGGAAAAAATAGAAGAGATATCCTCTATTTATCAAAACTTCACATATAGTCATTAAAGAGGATCCATCTTTTGTCTGGCAATAATGCAGTTTAATAAGCCTTTAAGATCACTTCTAACTTGTGTTAACCTTTTTTTATGTGACACATTGTTTATTAATTTATACTCCCGATTTAGCAGTTAACATCACAATCCAGTTCAGTCCAGGCAAAGCCAGGGCTAACATGGCAGGTGAGGAGGGTAAATACAAATATTGGGGGTTATGTATAAAAAGTGGTGTTTTCTGTAAAGTGGTCTAAAGTACTAAAAGTGGGGCAGTTGTCATGGAAACCAGTGGCGCTTGCAGGTATATTGAATTGGTGACACTTTTTTTGATACCCCTATTGTTTTATTTCTCATTTTTTCTGTTTGCCAGGTGCAAAGGATAGAGCATATAACAAAGAGTGACAGAGCCCTATTGCAGGATAAAGAGTTTTACCTCCTTCCATTCCTCTTGAAAAACACTAGTGCAATAGATCCCATCTGCCTATCTTAATTTTGGGGTTCTGTCCTTTTTTTTTTTTTTTTCTGCACCAGGGAAGTGATCCCCTTTAAGCGCAATACAAGGACAACAGTAGACGCGCTCACTAGTACCATGCACCGAGCGCTTCAGTAGCACTCAATGCGTGGTCCGACCTTATTGTGACCTGCCTGAGAGTCTCTCAGTGAGCTTTGTGTATGGTGCACAACATGCTGACAAGTCCCTTTCTTGGGAGTGTCCTCCCCCCCTTATCGCCACACTCTCCCTGATGTTCCAGATCCCCACTTGGCAATGGGATTTATATGCACATCTAGGCGGTTATATAAGTCTCTTTTGGTTATGTAAAATAATAAAAGTTGCATATGTGATCATTAGTATTTTTACTCATCATTTGTTTAATGCATTTAAAATAGGAGATCAACTCCAGTTTAGTGTCCCTTTTTAATAGATTTGGCAATAGTTGAAGATTTTAGTGTCTCAGTCACCAAAAAGAAACAAAAACTTGTAATTGTCATCTGCGTTTGGTAGGAAATTCTAGTGACAAATCTTGATTCAACATATTTAACCATTGTGTACTGTGTAAAATGGGCTGTGTGCAGTAAGCCACTCTGCCAACTCCTGAGCAGTTACTAGCAGTCACTTAGCCTGTTTCTGTATAACAGCAATACGTGTAGTGAAAGTGCCAAAAAGGATACCAGGCGCAAACCCTTTACCACATGGTCAGAAAGATGGGAGAGTGCAAACAAAGTGGGAACAAAACAAACCCCTTTCAAAATGGTGCGAAGCCAGATTATGTAAATGCACGTTTTCATCTGCTATTCCAAGCTTTTTTGGGAGCTAGTATGGTATCAAGAAAAGTTGTCCTTTGAAACCCTTATTGTAAGAAAATAACTTTCTTTTTTTTTTTTTATAATACAGAATTGTTCTTGAATCAGCACTGACTGAGGCAATAGTCAGACATATATATTTTGAGACAGAAGACCGGATCGGGGTGGCAGTAGAGTTTGCGTGGAGTCTCCATTACATTATTGCCAGGTACAGCATGCTAAGAAAAGACACATTGCTTTCTCTGCCCTTTTCTCTTTTTTTTTTTTTTTTATTTATTTTTTTTATTTGTATTTGTGTGCATTTGTGAAGCTATTTAAAGCAAACAACTGTTTAGAACACAGATGGTTGCTTTGTTCCAATGTGTTAAGTGAAGTGATTTATAGGCTCACATACTATGTATTTGTGATGCTTACTTAATAAGTTGGAGATTAAGTGCAGACATATTTATGTAGCTATTTTTATATACATCCTAATATTAATGTGTAGTATATGGATCAATATTAAATGTCCTTCATTTAGCCTCTGTTTGCATATTCAGGTTTTATAAAGGATTTGTGTTACGGATAATGTTGGAAGAGCAAAAATAAAACCTAACCATGGAGAAATTGCAGTATATGTTCAGCATATATGACAGCTGAGCACTGGCAGTCAATTAGCTTTGTTCTGCTTAGCTCTATAGAGCTAACTAGATTCTCCTGCAGAAGAAAACAGGCAATTTATCCTAATGTGGAACACCTACATTCCAAGACACACAAACACACCCTACTAACCCTAACACTCTTCCCAATAACACTAATAACAATAAGCACACAAAGGAAATTCAAGTCCCATATACATTGAGATCTTCTTAAAGGCTATAAACAAAAACTACATCTTTAAAAAATTGGCAAACCTTATGATTACTCATAAAGCTGCTCATATTCAAATAGCCATCTATATTAAAGTATTCAATAGTATCATAATTACACCAAATCATGCACCCACAAATATCACAGTCTACAAATCTCTCTTTCACTGTGTCACACCTGAACTCGAACAATAGAAACATCTGTTATCCACAATCTCCCCCCAGTGGCCAAAGGATTAATAAATCATGCCACAGTATATATCTCAATACCCCATATAAATATACCTATCGACACTTGATGTGAATAACCTAAATTATTTCTATAATTGCTAATACATATGTGCAATCACTATTATTAATGATCCTCCACATTTTTAAAGAACATGCCCAATATTCACACAAGCGCTCATATCTATTCAGTGATACATAATTTTGGACTATAAGTGCCTTTTTAAGAGAACACTCCAGACATGTAAAGCACTTCAGCTGCCTCTCCCATTCTCGATATGCTGTACTATAGTTCATTAAGAAGCACTGGAAATCTGCATGTGCACTTGCAGCTTCTGCACAGAGAACCCTTTAATTCAGGGGTTCCCAACCCAGTCCTTTAAGTATCCCCTACCAGTCCAGGAGTAAGTGATTACCCTGTTGTATCTAACATGATTTTTTTTTTTCTTTTTTTCTAAAAACACCTTCGACACAACTGGGTTATCCCTAAATCCTGGACTGTTAGGGGGTACTTAAGGAACTGGGTTCTGAACCACTGCACTTATTGCTCAATTCTCTGGCAGTGGCTGAAAGTATGTGTTGGAGAAAGAGTAGAGGGCTTTCAAATGCTGAAGACTGCAGATCTGCAGCTTTTGCAAGGTGTTTTGTTTAATATACTCCCAAAGACAACTTGCCAAAAAAAATGAAAACAATACATGCATGTTTTGTTTTGTAGTATATCTACTCAACAGTGAAAAATAAAAATTGGAAAGTTCCTTTAAGTAACCTTATCACTGTTGGTGGTCTTTACTGATTAAAACACATAATCTGAAATAATTGACCCCTGAACTCTATTATACATTAATGCTTAATAGGAATCTAAGATTACATTAATGATGAACCAGCTTGGTTATGTTTGCAAGTAAAACATGCGTTAAGATGTTTTGTATGTGTTTGTTTCAGCCAAGTAAATAATCTGTTGCTAATTTCACATGGCATTGTGCCTAAACTAGTACAGATTCTGTCGGACCTTTCTACACTTGCTTTGCGAAGTGCTCCTCCTGACCTGGAACTGGTGAGTAACCACCAATTAAAATGTTATGTCACAATGCAGAAAAAAATAAATAATCAAGCAAATGTACTATTATATTAATAAGTGGAAGTAACCTTGGAGACGGCAAACAAACACTCCCACCCAGTAACAAGTGTAAGCTGTTTTTTTTTTTTCTAAAAGGAACTTCTTGTAATACTAGGAAGGCGTTTATATGCACTCCCAGTGAGCCTCCAGGTACCAGGCAAATTATACTCCGCAATGTTACAGCAAGTAGCACAGTGTGAGGAATCTATGGGTATGCACATATAAAAATAAAAAAACCTTTAATATAGGGTTGTAATTTCCCAAGTTAAAGAAAAGGAAACTTAAAAAACTATCACATCTAAATAACACACAGGGAAGAACTCTGTCAGTATATGAGAAAGGCAGGATGAAGAAATGCTGTAGAGACTAGCTTCAGATTGGGACTAGTGTAAATACTTAGCGCAATCTATCTACAGTTAATAACTAAAGCTCCCTGTTAGAGATAAATGAATCTAGAGATAGATGATTTGAACTATTCCCCGGTCAATGAGCAGATGATAGACAGTGTAAAGAATATAACTGTATCTATCTCTGTAGCGAATAGGAACTGTTACAAATGTAACCGGGTCCTCTAAACAGGAGAGTCCATAGCTGCCTATAAACTAATGCATAAGCGTCTACATAGACCTAATGCTCCATCAACTGTAACGAAATCTTACTTCCCCACCCAGTGAGCACATAAAACAGTGCTGGTGATTAAAAACAAAAAAGCATGAACCTAACGTCCGTTTCGGCGCTGCCAAAGCGCCTTTATCAAAGGTAAGGACGGCACTGCACGAGAGTGAATAAATACCGGCACCTTATACCAGCTGGACCAATCAGGAGTGTAGGCGTAAGCGTCATGTCCGCGCCAGAATTTCAGACCACCTGTGTAGAACCTAGGTCCATTCAGCGTGTGGTTTCTGACTCCTCCCTTAAAGGGAGGGACTAGCTTGATAGTTTACATGGTAACCATGGCGCCCGCTTTCTTGAATAGGGTTACGTCTGCTACATAGACGGACCCTTTCATTACTGGACTGGGCGTCACGTCCCATCATTCTATTTATACAACTCCATCAGGGGGTATAAAGAGATCGTAAAGATAGCTATTAATGGTATAGAATATATTAATTGGCCATATAAAATAGAAGTGACTCTGATATGCCTAAGGAATGTTTATTTATTCATAGGATAAAGTGATATAATTATCATATATATGCCTACCCTCATAAGGGGTAGGTCTCATGATGACATTGGTCACTAGACATCAGTCCAAAGTATTGTCCATTCAGACATCCAGACATCACTTTTATTCTATGATCCAAAGATAACATCCTATTTGTTCATAGTAATCGGTGAGCACTTAGTTCATTTTTAATATTATCGAACTTTCTCCGTATAACATGAAACAAAGGTATTAACAAAGCCGATAATATACCAAAAGGTATAACAAAAATGTTAAAAGAACATACATTGCACTCCCCAATTGGGGCATGAATTACTATTTTTTTCTAATTAAAATTAATGAAGTATATATATATATATATATATATATATATTTTATTTTTTATTTTTTTTTATTCAAATTTTCACCACCACTTTATTTTGTCTAATGCTTCGGGCTAGAAACATTTGTATGGAGATGTTTGACAATGGTTTACTTTTTGTGTTCTTAAAATGTTTTTGAATAAAAGCACAAAACAAATTTGACTTAACTTATATTTTTTGTGGTGGCATGTTCTATGTAGTTGATATGTCCATTGGTTCGTTGTGTGGCAAATTTACTGACCGAAGTTGACGCAACAGGCAACAAAGTCCAGATTCATGATGGTCGCTTGTTGGTGGCTCTGTTTGTTTTTATAGAACAGTATCATAACCAGCATCATTTCTTGCTCACCGAATGTCTGTGGGCTATCAGCAATCTTACAGGTAAAATGTACAAAAATATACCATGCATGGAATGGAAATGTTTTGTTTAATGGTTGTGCTTCATACCAATAGTACACAGAAAACAAAATGCATCACCATTATATAAAAAATTAAAAATAAAAAGCAAGGTTTAATTGCAGTATGGTTGCTATCAGTTTACAGCAGTTCAGATAATTGTCTGATAAAGTACTTATCTCATAATTCCCTTGCTGGACAGGGAACTATTGGTGATGTCTACCCCAAAACTAAAATGAGATGCTCCTCATTGGAATATTTCATCCTGGTGTAGAATAGTTTGTCTGCAGCTGTGAGCAGACCTGCTGACCATTGCTCCAAGGGACAGCTGAAAATGTAATTCGCCTATTAAGCAGATTTGAATTATACTTTATGAAACCAAATACTTGAATTATATCACAGAAATTGGATTAACTGTTCAAAATTCGTGCTGAATAACTCTCTCTCTATAACGGCTGTATACCTGTGTAGTAATTAAAGGGACACTAGTCACCAGAACAACTACTTATTGAATTTATTCTGGTGAATAGAATCATTACCTTCAGGCTTTTTGCTGTAAACACGGTCTTTTCAGAGAAAATGCAGTGTTTACATTACAGCCTAGTGATAACTTCACTGGCCACTCCTCAGATAGCTGTTAGAGATCCTTCCTGGGTCATGGCTGCCTAAAATGCATCCAAACATTTAGTGTCTCCTCCCTCTGCATGCAGACACTGAACTTTCCTCATAGAGATACATTGATTCAATTCATCTCTATGAGAAGATGCTGATTGGCCAGGGCTGTGTTTGAATCATGCTGGCTCTGCCCCTGATCTGCCTCTTTGTCAGTCTCAGCCAATCCTATGGGGAAGCATTGTGATTGGATCAGGCCACCACTTCTGATGATGTCAGCAGGCAGTGGGCAGGTCTAAAGGAAACCGGGACAAAGTAAACAGCTTTATATGTCACATGAGTAATAGTTCCAGTATTTTTTGGCCGGTATGCTTACAAACACCAAGAAATTGGGCTACAGCTTTCACACAGTAACGTTAGTACGTTATAAGAATGTGAGGTCCAGTATTTATTCCCTGCTGTATCTATTTTCTATTTTTGTCTTTCTATCTCCGTTACACCTGATTTAAAACAATTGCTCCTTTTTACCTTGTTTTAACCCACTTTTAAGTGCAATCTTCAAGTTCAATTCTTCAAGCTTTAGGAATCTTAGTATAACAGATGTGATGCAATTGGAAAAGTATCCGTATTAAAAAGTAGCTATATCAGCTCAAAAAGGTTTTTTGCTAAACAGTGAGTTGTGGGCAGTTGACAAATAGTTGCAAAATGTAAGTGACAACACATTCAGTTAAGTAGATAACTCCCATAAGCCTCAGCTACTATGTACACGTTTGCGGTTAATCTAGGCTTATTGGAGATTCCCTAAAATATAATTCTCTGACGTAGGCCTTGATTTTAATATTTTTTGATAAACTATTTTTTATAATAATTTTTAAAAGTTGCTCGCTGTGCCTAGCCATACCTCACTGACCAGGATGAATAAGGTTAAAATAATCGTCTTGGGTTGCTGTATCTCTCGTGCAAAGGCAGCTATGCACTATTTTGAATTTGTACTGCTCTTTTGGGTGGGATCAACCTGATAAGCAAATTATCTAGGTTTACTCTGTAATGGCAAAAGATGAAACCAAACCAGCTTGAGATCTTAGTGGGGACACACTGAAGGGCAAGCTATTTTAACTATTGTCCTTTCTAAATATTCGCTTATTTATTTTATTTTATTTTTTGCTCATTTTAAAAGTTTATCCAAAAATATGAAATCGTTTGGAAAACTTATCCAACAAAAATGAAAGCCATGATTATTAATTCCATCAAACGAGAAAAAATGTATTACTCGAAAACCTATGGAGGCAGTGCTGGGAGTTTGCCACAAAGGAGTGGTGAATAGTAGTGGATCACCTAGTAAATTTGAGGACTGCCCAAACTGGGCACGCACGCCAGATGGACAAAGAGCAGCCCATGCTAAGAATGCTTCTTAAGACCCTTGAGCTGAGTGGCCTTTGAAGACTTCTCCCAGTGCGAATGTGTGAGGATGTGCTTGCTGTCGATAATTCCCTGGCATCCTGTATTTGGGGACACTATGGAACAAACCTGGGACAGAGTACAAAACCAGGAATTTTGGGCGATGTAGGCCACCATTACAGGTGCACCCACAATAATATTTGATCTTAAGATTAATGGACCAATGAGCTGCCTGCGTGCAAGGAATGTTGAGGGGCTGTGTGTGTTTACACACTTGCTTTTAAAAAAATAAAATAAAAAATCTTATTAATTTACTTACAAATGTTGCTTTATGGCTACATCAACCACAGACAGCATTCATTTCTTCCAACATTACATTTTGAACATATTTCCAGGTATCCAAACTTTAAGGCTCTGCCCAGTGCCCACCAATATATGGATATTGCCCTTTACTTGTTTGTATAGAAATTGAGTTCTGTTTGCTCTTTATCCTACAGTGGAAGATCCTGTTGTTGCTTCGGCCATGCTGCACTATAATATGGTGCCAGTATTGATGAATTTTCTACTTACTTCTAAAGACATAGCTGCAATGGTATGTAATTTTTGCGGTATGCAAGGTAACTTTATTTTATTTTAGATAAACAGTAGAAATTTAGCAGAAATACCATAAAATATGTTCAAAGATGAATGTGGACCTTTTATTCACAAAACATTCACCTCTAAATAGGTAAATGTATATATTGTGCTGATGAAATCTAAAGCACATGTATAGATTAGAAGATATACTTGCCACAAGATTAATTACTACAAACCAAAATAGCTGCAGCCATGGATGGAATGTCCTGGATGGAACCTTGCAATGCTAAATGTTGCAGAATTAAATTGCATGTACTGTAACAAGCATGAAGGCAAAGGTATATTTTAATGCCTTGGCCATCCCTTTCACTCCCAGTATTAAGATGTATATGCACACTCCAAGTACCATACCTTTCACAACATAGAGTAGTGGTGAGGTTGGTAGATCTACCATGTTTCCTGGTCACACATCACAAACTGATGGGCTCCATATGGACAAAACTTTTTGTGCAGTACCCATCAATTTGTTTGTTTGATCTGTATAAAAAAAAACATGATGTGGCAATCCTAGTGCAAGGAGGCTTTGGTAGAGTCAGGTTTTCAAACTATGCTAAGTCACTAAAAATATAATTAGGGGTACTGCTAAGCACCATAACAACTACATCACACTGTAATAGTTATGGTGCCAGGAGTCTCCGGTCACTGTCCCACAGAGTTAAACGATCAGGAGTCTGGAGCAGTTACAGTACTTGGTGCTTATTTTGCCCCCTTTAGGTTTTCTCAAGCAGAGAACATCCACCCCGTCTCCTTGGGGGTAACATAATAACAAAATCTTTGCAATCCAGTATTGTATCTGTATGAATTCTCTCAATCCTGTATATCTTCACCCATTCTCTCTCCACTTATCTCCTTATTTATGTCTCTCTCATATCTATCTCAATTGTACCGTCATCCCTATCTCTCCCTAACATTCCTTCACCATCTATCTCCACATGTCTCTTACTTACTCCATAGTTGTCTCTCTCACATTTGTGTGTCTATATCCATCTCCCTACCACACATAGTAAGAGCCTGAGCTAATTCATGCTGTCTGGTATAACATCTCTCATTTAATCCGACAGACGTATTACATAAGACCTACATGTGCACTTTAAACAAAAGGGAGTGGATACTTTACAGAAAATGTATAGATTGACACAAATAGATTAAAATAAACTACTAAAATAGGATGGCTTGGAATTGATCAAAAAAAAATCTCATGTATACTGTTTGAAGGGTTCTATTGTTCACATAGAGGGTTATGTTTATCAATTCTAAATTACTACTTTATTAATGTGAATTTGTGAAGAAATCTTTTAAATAGAATGTTTTGGTTTTTTTTTCTCCTTGCCATCATCTCTAGGTGCTGACAATTTTGTGTAGTATAGCGGATTTGGGACCTCTTTATTGTGAACAATTAAGACAAAAAAACATTCTTCCCTGTCTAATGAGTACACTAGGAGGTGCAGATGTGCAAGTGACTCTCCGAAGTCTGGATGCAATGATCTACCTCTTCCGAAATTGTCCAGATGTAAGTCTTTTGTTATTTAGATATTAGAATTTCAATTATGGATTAATTTTACACTTTTCTGACGTTAAGATGTTAAAACCTTTTTAAGACAACTGTTGTTTTTTTTAAAATAGTTTTTATTCTCGCAAATACAGTGGTACCTCGGTTTACAAATTTAATGCGCTCTCCGGGACGTTTTGTATTGTGAAAGATTTGTAAAAACCGAAACGCAGTTTCCCATAGGAATGCATTGAAAACCAATAAATCCGTTCTGGAGGTCAGAAAACAAGTACAAATGAGCTGGCATGGAAACCAACCCACAATGCAGAACACACAGTAAAATGCATGCAAACGACGAAGTTCAGCTCACTACCTTTCCACCGCTTGAGAAATGCACCAAAAAAGTTCAAAAATGTCCCAAAACCATTGCAAAAAAATTTCAAAATGGCTCCAAAACTCGATGCAAAAGCCGCTTCAGCACCTCCACACTCGACGCCACATGCTACCCACAGACTCCAGCATGCAGGGGGCGGCGCTATAAACCTCCCAGGCGCAATGCATCCTGGGGAAACTTGCTTTGTATTGTGAAACAAATTTGTAATCCAAGGCATTATTTTCAATGGATTTTCATTTGTAAACCGAAAATTATGTTAGGCAATGTAAACCGAGGAACTACTGTACCTTTTTAATATAGTCTTACTAATGCAAACAGAGTGACCTACTGTGCATTGTCATGGAAAGCACAAACCTCTTTTAAACATTTTTTTACTTTTATTTTTATGTATGTATTTTTTGTTATTGATCAAAAACCCGTGTTGATAATACTTTATAGATAATGCAATGCATGTGTGAGTTTTTCCTCTTTGTTTACAATGTTTGCCCTAGCTTTCCTCGTTTGTACTGGATTACAATCTTGTATACTAATTTTTTATATCAATTTTGAAGAAAACAGAGCATCTCATGAAAAATGTTATAGGTGAAAATCGTTGTCTTATTGTCACGTATTCATCCGCTTATAGAAATGTGGTTAATGACATTTACTGGCCACACAGGAAAAGTTGTGCCGAGCAGCAACCTAATCCACAGAAGGTTTAATGCTGAGCAGTAATTGTGCAAATGAAACCTGGTCTCATGTATTCATCCGCTTATAGAAAAGTGGTTAATGACATTTACTGTCCACACAGGAAAAGTTGTGCCGAGCAGCAACCTAATCCACAGAAGGGTTAATGCTGAGCAGCAATTATGCAAATGAAACCTGGTAACTGACTTTGGGGTCAAAGGCCGGTTACAGCCTATCAGAAAGAAAGGAGGGGTATTTAGGCCCAGTTCTCAGCCTGCTCAGTGCCCTGTCGTGGTTTCCCTTGTGGTTGTCCGAGAGCGCGTTCCTGTTTATAGTTTTCTACCTGGTTTTTGACTTTGGCTTTGTTTATTGACTTCTCTATATTCTGGTATCCTGACTCCTGGCTTTCCTCATCGCTGTGTCCCTTTCTGTGTTCCCTGACCTCGGCTAGTATTTTTGACTATAATTTGTACGTTAAATCCGGCCATTCTAAGGACCGGTAATACGTTACTTATTTGTCATCCGTGCTGTACAGTGCTACGTGCTGGATCAAACAGTAATCTTGACATTACGACAGGGCCATAGATCCTGTAGAACTGTGTCAGCACATAGCTGCTTGCGAGAGGAAATTAGAGGAGAATGGTCACCGCATGGATCAATTCACTCAGGCTTTAAGTACGCTTCTCGCTAGAACGGAACATCTGCAGCCTGCAGCGTCTCCTCCTATAGCACCTCTACCCTGTGTACCTCCACCCACTGTTAATATGACTCCTAGCATCTCCTTATCACCATCCCTACAGTTTGATGGCAATATCCAGGAATGCAGGGGTTTTCTTAATCAGGTGGAGTACCATTTTGAGGCCCCACCAGGGTCATTCCCCACGGACAGAGCAAGAATTGGTTATCTAATGAATCAATTAAAGGGCAAGGCCCTTGCCTGGGCTAATCCGTTGTGGGAGAGTAATCGGAACATAGCTCATAATTACCAGGAATTCCTTGCCGAATTCAAGCTCACGTTTGAGCCATTGGGTAGAGAGGATGACGCCTCCACTGCCCTAATGCACATCAGACAAGGTAACCGATCTATCTCGGATTATGCTATTGAATTCCGTACCTTAGCTTCCGAGGTAGACTGGACTAACAATGGGTTAATCTCAGCATTCAAAAAGGGTCTCTCAGAGACTATACTAGATGAGATAGCCGCTAAAGAATTACCTAAGAGTCTTAACAAATTTATTACGTTTGTCATGCATATTGATAATAGGTTAAGACTCAGAAGTCACCAGAAGCAAGACCAGACGTACGGCTATGTCCCTAGCACCTCAATTCTCTAAACCTGTTTTGTCTAACCTCCCTGTACAGTCCGAACCCGAACCTATGCAGTTGGGGTCACTAGACTGTCAGAGGCCGAAAAACAGTATAGGAGAAGGGAGGGGTTATGCCTATATTGCGGTAGAAAGGGACATATGATAACTAATTGTCCAGTGTGTCCTGAAAACTTCCGCACCTAAGAACCTTAAGGGGACAGATCTTAGGTGTGATGGAGTTGTCCTCTAACAAAAACAAAAGTAGATTCCTCCTTGAGGTATCTATTTCCCTTGATAACAAGAAGTTTTCTTGCGGTGCCCTAATGGACTCAGGTGCTGCTGGAAATTTTATTGATGTCCAGTTTATTAGGGGTAATGAGATACCGGTCAGGGAGAGACCTACGCCGCTAGCTGTAGAGGCTATTGATGGCAGACCACTCACACAACCGCTTATAACCCACAAAACTGTCCCTATTACGATCTCCATTGGGGCCTCCCATAGGGAGGAGATGACGTTTCAGGTTATTACTTCTCCATCATGTCCTATCATATTAGGGTTTCCGTGGCTGAGTAAGCACAATCCCTACATTGACTGGGCTAATGGGGAGATATTAGAATGGGGTAAAGAGTGTATGGGGAGATGTATAAAACCAGTACTAAAGAGATTGGATACTATTGACCTTCCACTACCACTCCCCAAACTCCTGGAGTTCCCATACAATACCGAGAACTTCAGGAGGTGTTTAACAAGGCTCAATCTGATGTATTGCCTCCCCACAGAGCATATGACTGTGCCATTAACCTGTTTCCAGGAGCTATGCCACCTAAGGGGGCAGTTTATGCCTTATCTCCCCAGGAGAGTAAAATAATGGAGGAATACATCAAAGAATCCTTGAGCAAAGGGCACATAAGAAAGTCATCCTCACCAGCTGGTGCAGGATTCTTTTTTGTTGAGAAAAGGGGTGGTGAGTTACGCCCTTGCATAGACTACAGGGCACTTAATAAAATCACTGTAAAAAATGCATACCCTATCCCACTCATTTCCGAATTGTTCGATAGACTTCAGGGAGCTAAAGTATTTACTAAGCTTGACCTTAGGAGTGCTTACAATTTGGTTAGAATTAAAGAGAATCATGAGTGGAAGATGGCATTTAATACCCGTAGTGGACACTATGAATATCTGGTAATGCCATTTGGGTTATGCAACGGCCCGGCCGTATTCCAAGACTTTATAAATGATGTACTCAGGGAATTCATTTACTCATTTGTCTTGGTTTATTTGGACGATATTTTGGTGTATTCCCCTGATCTTCAGACTCACCACTCCCATGTGAAACAGGTTCTGCAGACGTTGTTGAAAAATAAACTTTATTGCAAATTAGAAAAGTGCTTATTTGACCAGCCTGAAGTCCACTTTTTGGGTTACAACATCTCTGCATCGGGATTTCAAATGGATCCTAAAAAACTAGAGGCTGTACTACACTGGCCATTACCCTCTGGTTTAAAAACCATTCAAAGGTTTATTGGTTTTGCCAACTATTACAGAAGATTCATCAAGGGATTTTCTTCTGTAATAGCCCCAATCACAAATATGACTCGCAAAGGGGTTAGTAGCACGGTATGGTCCAAGGAGGCTGTGAATGCTTTTGAGACTCTTAAACAAAGATTTGCCTCTGCGGACATACTAAAACATCCCGACACTAGTAAACCTTTTATATTGGAGGTTGATGCATCCGAGACAGGGGTAGGGGCTGTTCTCTCTGAGAGAGAAAGCCAGGGAACACCATTGCATCCTTGTGGCTACTTCTCCAGAAAGATGTCTCCTGCTGAGCGCAACTATGATATTGGCAATAGAGAACTGTTGGCCATTATTCTTGCCCTCAAGGAGTGGCGACATCTTTTGGAGGGTTCAAGGACCCCCTGTTGATCATAACCGACCACAAAAATCTGGCATATATAGGGGATGCCAAACGTTTGTCTTCCAGACAGGCTAGATGGTCACTATTCCTTTCACGTTTTAACTTTCTCATTACTTATAGACCTGGTTCTAAAAATACCAAGGCTGATGCCTTGTCCAGGCAATTTGATAAGGAGTCAGCTCCGGAACAGGTGACATCTCCTATTATTCCACCAGAGTGTATTATTGCCACTACTGTCCTCTCACTGTCTTCTCCACTGCTTGGCACCATACTGGAGGCCCAGCCTCAGGCGCCCAGTGGTAAACCATGTGATAAACTGTTCGTTCCCCTATGTGAAAGGGTTAATATCATGAAAGTGTTCCATGACAATATAACTGCTGGACACCGGGCATCAATAAGTCCACTGCCGCGATCACTAGATCATTTTGGTGGGATTCACTCAGGAAAGATGTAAAGGAGTATGTGCAGGCATGTTCTGTGTGTGCAGTTTCTAAGGTGACTCATGCACTTCCTTGTGGCCTGTTGCAGCCTCTTCCTGTTCCTGAGATTCCATGGTCCCACTTATCCATGGACTTTATTGTAGAGCTTCCTAGCTCTGCTGGGTTCACTACTATTCTCATGGTTGTAGACCGATTTTCTAAGATGGCTCACTTCATTCCTCTCAAGAAGTTGCCATCTTCGCAAGATTTGGTCCTAATTTTCATACGTGAAATTGTCCGTTTGCATGGCATCCCCCACAATATTGTGTCTGATAGGGGCTCTCAGTTTGTGTCCAGGTTCTGGAGGGCGTTCAGTAAACAATTGGGGATTGATCTCTCCTTCTCCTCCTCCTACCATCCACAGACCAATGGTACAGCTGAGAGGGCTAACCAGTCATTAGAAGTTTATTTGCGTTGTTTTATTAATAGCACACAAGACAATTGGTCCGAACTACTCCCGTGGGCCGAGTTCGCTAGAAACAATGCTGTTCATGACTCCTCTGGGCACAGTCCATTTTTTGTCAATAATGGTAGGCATCCTACGGTTCTCCCTGTGGTATTTTCTGATACTGCCATTCCTGCTCTGGATGAGCGTCTGGCCTCCATTCGGGATACCTGGGTTAAGGTTCAAACTGCTCTAGGGGCTGCTGCTGAACGCTTCAAACATTTTGCTGATAAGCGTAGGAGTGCCAACCCGGTGTACCAAGTGGGGGACCGGGTTTGGTTGTCATCTCGCAACATCAAGCTTAAGGTCCCTAGCATGAAGTTTGCCCCCAGATTCCTTGGTCCCTATAGAGTGCTTCGTAGGATCAATCCAGTGTCTTACTCTCTGGCTCTTCCTGCATCTTTAGGGATTCCCAACACTTTTCATGTGTCCTTACTCAAACCTCTTGTCTGCAATAGATATCCTGTTCCTTGTGTTCCTCCCCCTCCGGTGGTGGTGGGTGGTCAGGAAGAGTATGAGGTATCTTCTATCGTGGATTCTAGGTTTTCTCGGGGCACTTTACAGTACTTGGTTGTTTGGAAAGGTTACGGTCCTGCTGATCGTTCTTGGGTTTCGGCTCCTGACCTGCATGCGGGCCGTAAGATCCGCGCTTTTCACGCTAAATTTCCTCTCAAGCCTGGTCCTGTCCGCCCGGTGGGCGTTCTTCAGGTGGGGGGTAATGTCACGTATTCATCCGCTTATAGAAATGTGGTTAATGACATTTACTGGCCACACAGGAAAAGTTGTGCCGAGCAGCAACCTAATCCACAGAAGGGTTAATGCTGAGCAGCAATTATGCAAATGAAACCTGGTAACTGACTTTGGGGTCAAAGGCCGGTTACAGCCTATCAGAACTAAAGGAGGGGTATTTAGGCCCAGTTCTCAGCCTGCTCAGTGCCCTGTCGTGGTTTCCCTTGTGGTTGTCTGAGAGCGCGTTCCTGTTTATAGTTTTCTACCTGGTTTTGACTTTGGCTTTGTTTATTGACTTCTCTATATTCTGGTATCCTGACTCCTGGCTTTCCTCATCGCTGTGTCCCTTTCTGTGTTCCCTGACCTCGGCAAGTATTTTTGACTATTCTTTGTACGTTAAATCCGGCCATTCTAAGGACCGGTAATACGTTACTTATTTGTCATTCGTGCTGTACAGTTCTACGTGCTGGATCAAACCGTAATCTTGACACTTATTCGGTGGTGTAAATTGAAGATAAATTACAGTTCCCCTTTAATGTATTAAAATAGCAAAAATGTGTCTTAAAAATACAGACATTTACAACCTGATGTGTCACTGAAAATAAAATTGGGTTTGCTAAGCCATTCCTCTTTTTTTCCTCTAACCCAGCAGTTCCTAAACAGTGGGCCGCGGCGCCCTGGGCTGTGACTTGCACACAGGGGCACCGCAAAATGTTTCCCGGTGCTGTGATAGCACTGGGAAACATTTTTGCTTAACAGGGACCCAGGACCCTTTAAGTCCACAACCAGGCCCACTACCTGTAGTGTTGGCAGACTGGGAGGAAGTGACAGCATGTCACTTCCTGCCAGCTTCTTGCAGTGAGACGGCGCGGGAGGGAGAGAAGGCAGCCGCAGAGGCAGCATGAGGGGAAATGAGGAGGAGCATGAAGAACTGCTCCAGACTCCTCACTCCCGCCAGCAGCAGGAACAGGATCCAAGCAAGCCACCCTCCTGGACACAAAATGTAAACTAACAGGAGAGCGGCTGTAGATATAAAAAATTACATCTATACATATATATGCTTATGTGTATGTCAGTGTATGTATCTGTGTCAGGGTTTGCACACACAGTATGTATGTGTATCTGTGTGTCATGGTGTGGGCGTACGTGTCGGTGTCAATATGGGTTTGTGTGTGTCGGTGTATGTATGTGTTTCTGTGTGTTTGTTTAGGTATAGCTGTGTAAGTATGTATTTAGTAATATATGTGCATACATCCAAGCAATAAACACCAGCACACCATACAAGCACTCTCCTGCAATCTAACACAGATTTTACATACAAAAACACCTCTGCCATCAGACCCCCCAAATAATATACAAACACACCCCTTCACTCAAACACCAATACTACATACAAATGTACATTTGCTTTTAAAAGCGAACATTACATCCAACCCTAGCACACCTCCAATCCAGTGAAAACATTATATAGAAACACACCCCTGTATTAAAACATTAGAATTATATACAAGCACCCCTTCAATCAAACATCAACACTGTACATCTGCTATAGCACCAATATATGCCACAGCGCTATACTGGTGTTATAGGGAGGGTGAGCACTCCTAGGAGTTTCTTTTCATCTTCTTTATTTGTAGTCCACAAAAGAGACAATATTTACATCAAGAAGTCACAGTTTCAGTTCGTCTAGACATATAATTTATAATATAATTTATATGTCCTGATGAAGGTTCGCTAGACGAACTGAAACATTGACTTCATGATGTAAATATTGTCTCTTTTTGTGGACTACAAATAAATAAGATGAAAAGAAACTTCTGAGAGATGTCCACTAATAGGAGGAAACATCCATGCTAGCAATGCAAAAATAGATGATGAATCCTCATGGCATCGCGAGTTGTGCTCTGTTTTCCCCTTTTCTCCCCTGACACAATTTAGGTTGCTCTAGGCCTCTCAATGCATATAGCAATCTCCCCGTAAATATGTGATTACACAGTCACATACTTATGTTGTTTTTTTATTTTATTTTATTATTAACTAACCCTCCATACTGCAGCTTACCTTTGATTCTGGGTGGAGGAAAGAGGTCTAGAGTTATAGCACTCCCTGATATCTAGGAGGTGTAGAAGCATGACATTTTGCTTGCTTTGAACTCTGTGGGTGGCACAGTTAGCAGGCAGTGGGTTCCAGCATATAATGTTTCCTGTATTTGTAATGCACCAGTAACACTCAAAGACCTGTAATCATTAGTGTGCCATTATTGTTATGGTGCCAGGAGTGCCCTGATTCCGCCCTGGGATAATTTGTTAAACCATTTTAATATGGTTTGACACTTGCCTGTTTCACACCGGATGCCTGTGCTATTTCTGGGCTTCACAGAGCTAAAGAAACTGGATGTCAGGTAGTTCAATACAAGATCTCTTTGGCTAAAGAGATCGGCTGATGCTCGCAGCCGATGAATGAATGCATAAATCGGTATGCAGCTTCTACTGCTCAAGAAGAGCCAGGTATCTGTGAAACCATTCTAAAACCGCTTGGCAGATTATGCTGGGACGGCACTCCTGGTGCTTGGAGTGTTCCTGTGAGAAGGCCTTGGAAACATTTAGTTCTGCAGACCAGTCTCCTACCACCCTAAGCCTTAGCTGTTCGCCATTTGCTTTGTCACCCTCTGTTAGTTCATAGTTTAGGGATGTCCAAATGGGGATGATAAAACGTGATGCTTCTAATGTGTCCATGCTCTGTTACTCCACTTTCTGGTACACTAATTGCCTTATTGTTATTTTAGCTTGCAGAAGACTTTCTTAATAACTATGGTCTGTCGTTTCTTGAGCCATATAAAAACAATGTCCTTTTTCATGAGCAAGTGCAAACTATTTGGAACCTGTGTACTATGCAGGTGAGTTGCTGCTTATTTCTAAGTTCTAATTGTTTGCTTTGATGGTTTGTCATCAAACAGTGACTTATATCCACTTGCAAAATATAAGCCAAAAGAAGAGTTACTTCTCCAATGTCATTAATTTTACACCTCTATCATGACCTAAAAACATGCAGTTTTGTTTTCAGTTTACCACATTCCAGTATTTAGTGTATGAACCTAGTGTGCTGTGATAGGAGTTAAATTACTTTGGTAATGCAGTCGTAACCACACCTCCCTGCATGTAATTTGCTCAGCCTTCCTGAACACTTCCTTTAAAGTGAGATCTAATGTTTATACTTCCTTTATTTCAGTCTGTTTAATGTAGAATCTCCTGCACTTTTAATAGCTTGCAGGAGCCTCCTGTGTGTGATTAAAGTTTAATTTACAGAGCAGGAGATAAACACATCTAAAGTAAGTTAACGTCTGATTTAAAAATGAAACCACCTTACTTTTCATGCAGACTGTGAGTTACAGCCAGGAAAGGTGTGGCTAGGGCTGCATGGACAGAAACAAGTGATTTAACTCCTAAATGGTAGAGAATTGAGCAGTAAGACTTCAGAGGCATGATCAATACTCCAAAACTGCTTTATTAAAGGGTTGCTGTAACCTTAGTGAGAGGAGGGACTTTTCTGGTGTAATAGGAGCCCCTCTCAATGTGTTGTAAAACCTGAAATAAGGTTTTGTTTACCTTGAACCCAGCGCTGAGTGAAGGTCCTGACAGCACTAGGGCTATGCGTGGTCCAATCATAGGCCCACATGCTGGCTCAGAGCACATCTGTGCTGAGGGGAGAGCTAGCTTTTCACATCTGTTGTCAGCGTGCAGTGTGTTGCACTGTCCAACTAGCCCCCAGCACACATTTACCGATTTCTCTGTATATATTGTTTTAAGCATATACTGACCCCTACTACTGTGACCACTTCATATAATTAAAATGGTCATGGTGGATGGAGTAACCCTTTAAGCTAAAGTTGTTTTGGTGACTATAGTGTTAATTTAAGTTACTCCACTGTAAGCCGTAGCACATACACTAGTTGTAAATTTCTATTCGTGTGGCTAATTTTTCACTAGGCAATGGCACCCATTATTCTAAAGCTGATCACTGAGAAATGTAAAAGCTCAATAGCTATACAAAACATTCTATAATCATTTCAAACTTAAATTCCATTCTCACTTGTATTTACATTTAAGTGTAGGAAAGTAATATTTCTGCAGGTTGGTTGAGCACATGCTTTTAATGCATGTAAATGACATTTCTTCCAAGCGATGTCATGTGTACATTTTTATTAAATATTTTCATTTTTGGAGACTCCTATGGGTGAAACTAATGGTAGATATATATTTAAGTAAATCCCTCAAAAGTGCCATTATCTAGTTTCTGTGCCACTACTGTACTTATGCTGCATGAGAGTAAAACATAGGTCAATAGACAATCCTATGAGACCGTATGTATATATTTGGAAAGGTTTCAAGCACCTGTTAGGCATTGGGTGGGTATGGTCATAGGCACAGTATCGCATGTTGGGTACATATGCCATGTATGCACATTATCCATCCCACTGGTATCAGTGGCACTTTCTAAAGACCACTAATTAGTGCAAAAAGGCACAGCAGTTCCACACGTGGGGACACAAACTAAACGTATATTTTTGGAAGTTTCACTGATAGGTTATTCTATCACAAAAAAAATGACAACTTACTTATACTTCCCTGTTTCTAATTCTAGGTGAATGAAGACAGTAATAAATCAACTATGGAATAAAACTTATTAATGTAGAAGACTGAACAATGAAGGAACACTGACCAGACATTTTTTATTACCGTTTGTTGAATAAGACAGAGTTTATATTTTTCTAATAAAATAAAGTGAACAAATGCCGAGACTCCACCATGGTTTTATTTAGCGTATCGGGTAGAGAAGGATGAACAATTTAGTCAAAAGATGCTCCTTTTCAAAGATGGAAGATTCCAGATTTCTGCACTTTTCACACATCGTGCAACAATGTCCAACAAAAAGATCTGTCTTCATGGTTTACGGTTCGCAACAGATTCCAGGGCTTTTGCAACTTGGTCGGAATTTAGATTACTGAGTGGTACATTTACTTCTTTTCCAAAATCTGCAGGGAAAAAAAGTTAAATGTAAAAAAAGAATACTAATATGTAAATTAAAGAAATGTAAATTAGCTGGCCAATGCAGACATAAAAACAACAAGCAAAACAATTATTTGTTTCTATATGTGTATGTGCAGCCAAGTGCAATATACAGTTGTTACACACTAAATTTATGCATTTTATACCTTAACCAAATTAGCTGTAATTCTTTCCATAGATTATGCAAGACCTTTTTTGCAGCACTTTGCATCTTAACCCTACCTCATCTCTCCCACCTCCCTCATTCTATAAATACCTCCTAGCTTATGTACTGCAATCAATGACATCAAACCTCAGACATGTACCACACTGATAGTCTCCAGAATGGAACCATTAGGGTACTAGTGCAAAAACCTCTAGCCTGCGAATGCATGTTCTCTTGCTCGCATCCCTCCATGTAGTGACAACTGAGCACGCATGTCTGCTGCCAAAGGAAATTGCGTGATTACAGTATGCCATTGGAAATACATAGACATTAGGCCGCCATTATGTGAGACGTCTCTTCCTCAACTGTTTAGTCAGTGCTATGTGTTAAGCATTAGAGACCGGTATTGGAGATGACCTCACATACCCCTCTTTCTCCTTACACAGAGAGCCGCATGTGTGAATGGTGGGAGGTGGAAGGCAGCCTGGTGTACATGATGAACACTGACTGCCTAGGGCTGTTACTTTCAGTAATCCTTATGCATATTCACATCAAGCAGGCAGAGGTTGCTGGGAGTAAAGTAATTTTGGTATACAATGCTGTTCACTATGCACAAAAAGCGAGCAGGAAGGAATGTACTGCCCCAAGTACAGCTCTTCTTCCATCTTAAATTCACTTACTCTGTGTACAGATTTCACTGTTTTTGTAAAGCTGCATAACACCACCCTGCACCTTGGTAAACTGAAGTGGTTGTGGTGCTTGGAGTGTACTTTAAAGCTACAGTGCCAAAGTGTAGCCCAAGGGCAGGCTTTTAGTAAAAGCTCCACGAAGGAAGAAAAAATAAAACACACACTTACCATATCTTGCCCATAATTTGGGTTGTACACCAGAACATTCTCTGATCAAGATCGGAAACTCTGGGTTGGCTTTCTTAAGTTCTACATAATGCTTTTCAATAAAATCTCTAAAAAGGAGAAAACAGAAATTCAAGATTCTTATTTTAATGACAAATGTAAAGTAAATACCCATCAAAGGAACACTATGTGGTTAGGAACACAAACATGAGGGGGGGGGGTGATATTGAGAGGTGGAGGGTGATTGTGAGGGAGGTTACTACTACGAAATAACTTTTTATTCCCTGGTGGGCATTACTGCAGCTCCGCAGAGTTACAGACCATGAATCTTGCGAGAACCGTCAGTGTTTCCGTGGTAACCCATGGCAACACTGATTGGCCAGTTCTTGGTGAGACACATGGTCTGCAGACCGGTGTCTCTGATGGCTGGCCAGGCAGCCAGGAGAGGTCTAGCACCTGACGGCATACTGAGCAAGCCGCCAAGCCCCTCCTGGTGTCGGGTTCTCTGTCACTGACCGAGGACCCAACACAGTTTGCCCTCAGGCGGGTTAGGCAGCTGCGAGGCCTTAGGCAGCCGCCTAAACAGAGAGCCGCTCGTGGTTACAAGCAGGAGGGGTGCGGCTAGAAGAGCATAACCAAAGTGTTTTAACTCTAAAATGGCAAGAATTGAGCAATGACTCTGCAAAGGCATGGTCTGTACACCAAAACCACTTTTAAGTCAAAACTGTTTTGCTGCTTAGTGTCCCCATAATCCACCATGTTTTCAGGGACACATAATTCTGTCATTTATGAAAAGGTGTGCCATGCAGTATGTATAATGCATATTCTTCATTTCCTAATTACTTAATCTTGTACACTGTCATCTGAATTCTTTTTACTACCTTGTGTAGCTGGTAAACAGCATGCACATTAGTCTCTCAATGCTTACTTTTGAAGAAGCAGTGGAATGGTTGAGATCACAGAGGTAGAGAGCCTCATTGTGAATCAGAACTGGGAGCTTAACTAAATTGGAGAATGTTTTCAGTACAACTACTTTAACTTTTGAAATGCCCTTTGAATTCACAACAATTCTCACTTCTGTAAATAACCCTGATAGTAAACCAACCTGTCTCCCTCTGGCATAAATGTAAAAAAAAAAATGCCCTACCCAACTTGCACATATACAGTGTATTGCCATCTGAAATTTATTATCAGGAGCAAATGGAAGTGAAATCTAGCTTACATTCAGTTGGTGAGTGTTCTTGACGATTTATTTAAATGGAAAATACTGGCTAGTACGAATCTACTAGAATGGTAGGAATTGAGCAGGAGATTATGGGATTTGAGTATCAAGATTTTCAGTTATGGAAGTTGCATAGATGGTGCACATCCCAACTACTGATACATAATGTTACCTGTGATCAAAGCAAGCCAGCCCACAAATGGCCTAGATGTCACCTGGCAAGGGGCAGCATGTTACCTCTATCCAGACTAAAACAGTTTGCATTATTTAGGAAGGCAAATTTATATCCTTCATTCCAGTTGCAGACTGTGCCTGCATGAATGCTTTGAAATGGGACAGGAGAGAGTGCACTGCAACTAAAAGGGGCACTCTGAGTCTTGCGGTTCAGTCAAAGAGTGACAAATAATTCACCTAACAGGACTGCATTACGGAACTTCAACTGGCTCATTTTATTGCCTTTGACCCTCACTCCTAAGCAGCACGGTTCTCTGGAAGTTTGAAGTACAGGGATGCCACCCCTTGCAGTAACAGTAAGAAAACAGAAGTGTGGCTAAAAAGAACATTTTAATGTTTTGTGTCAGAGTGTGTATCTGTGTGAGCTAATTTATATGACTGTGTCTATAGTAGTGTGCATTTTATGTTTCAGCGTATGTTCTGTGTGTGTGTGTAGAAGTTATGGGTAGGGCTGCATAAATAAAGTAACTTAAAAGAGGACTGTGACATATCGCTGGGAGTCCAGTGGCCTGCAGACACAGCTGAGTTTTACTTACCTGAATCTGGCCCTTGCGAGTGCCTCCATCCTCTTCTGCTCCTGACAGTGTGAGTGTTCAGGTCTTGCGGGATCCTCTATAGACTGCACTGCTGTACTCTCGCCCACTGAAGCTTAAAGGAACACTATAGGGTCTGGATCACAAACATGTATTCCTGACACTATAGTGTTCAAAACACCCTCTCTCCACCCTAAATAGTGTATCCTAGCTGCTGCTAGTTCTGCACCTGATCTGCCTGCTTTGCTGACCTCATCAGAAGTGTTGATCTCCACCAATCACAAAGCTGCCCATGGGAAAGATTGCCGGGAAAGCATTGGATTGGCTAAGATTGCCAAGGAAGCAGATCGGGGCAGAGCCAGCACAAGTCAAACACAGCCCAGGTCAATCAGCAGCTCATCATAAAGATGCATTGAATCAATGCATCTCTATGATGAAAGTTCAGTAAATGTCAGTACAGCACTGCCCCGTGAAGCACCTCTAGCAGCCATCCGAGGAGTGGCGAGTGGAGGTATCCCTAGGCTTTGGTGTAAACACTGCCTTTTTTCTGAAAGGACAGTGTTTACTGTAAAAAGTCTGAAGGGAATGATTATACTTACCAGAACAACCAAATAAGCTGTAGTTGTTCTGGTGTCTACTGTGTCCTTTTAAGGAGCAGAAAAATAAAAAACTAGTTTCCATGCAGCTGTCACTGGGTGAAATTCCAACACAGTCAATATGAGTATTTCAAAAAGATTATATCTTTATAAAATATTTTATGGGGAGGGTGACATGTTAAAGGACCACTATAGTCACCAAAACAATTATTACTGGAATTTATTACTGGTATTTATTAGCGCCAACAAATTCCACAGCGCTTTGCGATTAATGGAGAACGTACAATATACAAAAGGTAAAGAGGGCCCTGCCCATAAGCGGATATCTAGCCATTGAATCAGTTATAGTGTATATAGCGTTTCTGTTTATTCAGCCCCTGGCTGTGACTCACAGCCTGCAAGAAAAAAAATGTGGTTTTCCTTTCAAACAGATGTTAACTTACGTTAAAAGTTTGTATCTCCTGCTCTGCATTCTAAATTAAATTTGTAATAAAGGGAAGTGTAAACATTAGATGACTTTACAGGAAGTGTTTATGGAAGGCTGTGCAAGTCACATGCAGGGAGGTGTGACTTGGGTTCATAAACAAAGGGATTTAACTCCTAAATGGCAGAGGATTGAGCAGTGAGGCTGCAGGGGAATGTTCTATACACCAAAACTGCTTCATTAAGCTAAAGTTGTTCAGGTGACTATAGTGTCCCTTTAACCAGAGCCCTGGAATGAGGTAGCTGTGCCAGTGAGGGTGTAGCCCGTGGGGCTGTGTCTCTGTATTGACTATCAGTGCCCATTCAATGATGGATAGAGCAATGTCAGGCTGCAGGGAAGGTGACCCTGGAGGCTGTATTAGTTCTCACAGTCCCAGCCCGGGCTCTGTCGGTCTGTCCGCTCAGCTCGCCCATACCTGGTGCCTTGGCTGGCTGCCGATTTCTGGCACAGGTGGATCCTGATTTCCTTCACATTTTTGCTCAGCTTTGACCCGAGGTTCCGCACTGCTGCGGCCGCCATCTTGCCCGTTATTGACAGGTCCAACAGCCACCCAATCAGCACGCTAATGGCAGTGACGCTCAAAGGGCGCTGGCCAATCGTTGCATTGTAAAGCCCGATAGAGCTTCGGTGTCCACGTGATCTTTCTATCCAATAGCAAAGCACTGCCTACTAACGCATTTAGATTTCGTAGGACGTACCGTGTTATTGAGTTTGAAACAAAAGAGACATAACACATGCACGCATTGCGTGGCTCCAATTTGACGGCCATTTTTCGGGCGGGCAAAATGTTACGCAAGGAACGCAGACGCCAGAAACAAGACCGCTATTGAGAACGACGCAACAGATTGTTATTGCTGACTCTAACGAGTAGAGCTCTAGGCTGGAGCGGACCCTCAAAGAGGATTATGGGTAATATTTAGCCAGTTCCTGTTTCCGGTTGCAGGATTTGTAGCAGCCAAAATGCCCGAAAGAGAGAGTAAGTATCGACCGAAATGCTTTATTTATGTTACAAACATATGGTTATATGTGCGGATTAGTAACGGGCTGTGTTTAGAAAGAGGTTGGCTGCACGGTGTCTGTGTGGATTATGGCTAGTGTATGTGTGTGTGGATTATGGTTAGTGTGTTATGGTTAGTGTGTCTGTGTGGATTATGGTTAGTGTCTGTGTGTGTGGATTATGGTTAGTGTCTGTCTGTGTGTGTTATGGTTAGTGTCTGTGTGTGTTATGGTTAGTGTCTGTGTGTGTTATGGTTGGTGTGTCTGTGTGTGTTATGGTTGGTGTGTCTGTGTGTGTTATGGTTGGTGTGTCTGTGTGTGTTATGGTTGGTGTGTCTGTGTGCGTGTGTTATGGTTGGTGTGTCTGTCTGTGTGTGTTATGGTTGGTGTGTCTGTGTGTGTTATGGTTTGGTGTGTCTGTGTGTGTTATGGTTTGGTGTGTCTCTGTGTGTGTGTTATGGTTGGTGTGTGTGTGTGTTATGGTTGGTGTGTCTGTGTGTGTGTGTTATGGTTTGGTGTGTCTGTGTGTGTGTGTGTTATGGTTTGGTGTGTCTGTGTGTGTGTGTTATGGTTTGGTGTGTCTGTGTGTGTGTGTTATGGTTTGGTGTGTCTGTGTGGATTATGGTTAGTGTGTTATGGTTAGTGTGTTATGGTTGGTGTGTCTGTGTGGATTATGGTTAGTGTGTGTGTGGATTATGGTTAGTGTCTGTGTGTGTGGATTATGGTTAGTGTCTGTCTGTGTGTGTTATGGTTAGTGTCTGTGTGTGTTATGGTTAGTGTCTGTGTGTGTTATGGTTAGTGTCTGTGTGTGTTATGGTTAGTGTCTGTGTGTGTTATGGTTGGTGTGTCTGTGTGTGTTATGGTTGGTGTGTCTGTGTGTGTTATGGTTGGTGTGTCTGTGTGTGTTATGGTTGGTGTGTC